TAGACAGACACTGAGTATAGTGTAGACAGGCACTGAGTATAGCGTAGACAGACACTGAGTATAGTGTAGACAGGCACTGAGTATAGTGTAGACAGACACTGAGTATAGTGTAGACAGGCACTGAGTATAGCGTAGATAGGCACTGAGTATAGTGTAGACAGGCACTGAGTATAGTGTTAACAGACACTGAGTATAGCGTAGACAGACACTGAGTATAGTGTAGACAGACACTGAGTATAGCGTAGACAGACACTGAGTATAGTGTAGACAGGCACTGAGTATAGTGTAGACAGGCACTGAGTATAGTGTAGACAGACACTGAGTATAGCGTAGACAGACACTGAGTATAGTGTAGACAGGCACTGAGTATAGTGTAGACAGACACTGAGTATAGTGTAGACAGGCACTGAGTATAGTGTAGACAGACACTGAGTATAGTGTAGACAGGCACTGAGTATAGTGTAGACAGGCACTGAGTATAGTGTAGACAGACACTGAGTATAGTGTAGACAGACACTGAGTATAGTGTAGACAGGCACTGAGTATAGTGTAGACAGACACTGAGTATAGTGTAGACAGGCACTGAGTATAGTGTAGACAGGCACTGAGTATAGTGTAGACAGACACTGAGTATAGTGTAGACAGGCACTGAGTATAGTGTAGACAGGCACTGAGTATAGTGTAGACAGGCACTGAGTATAGTGTAGACAGACACTGAGTATAGTGTAGACAGGCACTGAGTATAGTGTAGACAGGCACTGAGTATAGTGTAGACAGGCACTGAGTATAGTGTAGACAGACACTGAGTATAGTGTAGACAGGCACTGAGTATAGTGTAGACAGACACTGAGTATAGTGTAGACAGGCACTGAGTATAGCGTAGACAGACACTGAGTATAGTGTAGACAGGCACTGAGTATAGTGTAGACAGACACTGAGTATAGTGTAGACAGGCACTGAGTATAGTGTAGACAGGCACTGAGTATAGTGTAGACAGGCACTGAGTATAGCGTAGACAGGCACTGAGTATAGTGTAGACAGGCACTGAGTATAGTGTAGACAGGCACTGAGTATAGCGTAGACAGGCACTGAGTATAGTGTAGACAGGCACTGAGTATAGTGTAGACAGGCACTGAGTATAGCGTAGACAGGCACTGAGTATAGCGTAGACAGGCACTGAGTATAGTGTAGACAGGCACTGAGTATAGTGTAGACAGGCACTGATTATAGCGTACACAGGCACTGAGTATAGTGTAGACAGGCACTGAGTATAGCGTAGACAGGCACTGAGTATAGTGTAGACAGGCACTGAGTATAGTGTAGACAGGCACTGAGTATAGTGTAGACAGGCACTGAGTATAGCGTAGACAGGCACTGAGTATAGTGTAGACAGGCACTGAGTATAGTGTAGACAGACACTGAGTATAGCGTAGACAGGCACTGAGTATAGTGTAGACAGGCACTGAGTATAGTGTAGACAGGCACTGAGTATAGTGTAGACAGGCACTGAGTATAGATGTTATTCGATCTGCGTCATCAATGTTTGCGGCGGCCATATTGTTGACATAGAAATCACGGCAACTGTCAGTCTGTCAATTGACAAGCGAGGCAGCGTCGGTATTATCCATGGTATTATCACTGTATTTTTTTTTTTAAACAGCGTGATGGTGTGTTGTGTAATACACGTCTGTTCTAACAACAGCAATAAGAACCCCGGGGTTAGTTTTTATGATTTCGATAAGTTATCGACTGTCAGAAAGCGTGAAGGGAAGGAGACAGAGTTGAGCCAGCGCAGGAGAGGCTAGCTAGGATAAATAGGCTAAACTTTCAGCCAACTCACCACAGAAAAGTCTGTTCCCATCCTTTTACCACAGGTTTCACACATAATCCGTGTGGAATGCGTGTGCGGTGCGTATACGGGACAGAAGCAGGACGCGCTACAGTGCTTTATATGCTGCGTTTGCAGTGCGTAGCTAACTAACTGATCCGCGGCTGTAACGTTACCACAAACACCCCGGTACTCACTATTTTTATTTTAACACATACTCGCTATTTCAACAACGTAAGCCAATTATTCCATGCATTACTTCTATTAAGTTGCTCAAGCAATTGGTCAAATATGTAACCATGTACTTATATTAAAATCGCAAACATTTTAAATGAAAACTTAAAATTGACAAAAACAACCGACTCTCATGCCTTTTCTTTTGCATTTACATTTTAATACAACAAATCTTGCATGTCACAAAGAACTTGTTTTTCCACCTCCACGAATGAGACGAGTGTCGTTCATTATGTTGCCTTGTGTTGAGGTGCATTGTAGTTTGTATACGGGTACTGTATGAACGAGATCGTTATAAATATCCGGATAAGTTACGGCTGGCAAAGTGGCAATAAGGACGGGTCTTTACTTAAGCTTGATTGGTGTGGACCCACAGCAAGTAATAGCATTATCTTCTCTTGATAGCGACGAGATGAAGCCAGGCTACTGCTCCCCTCAACTCAAATCTGCGCGCGGTTAGGGGCAGCAGGACAGATGTCATGTCAACAATATGGCCGCGGTTAGCTACTTCCGGTGTTTGCGAATAAGGTCTATAGTGTAGACAGACACTGAGTATAGCGTAGACAGGCACTGAGTATAGTGTAGACAGACACTGAGTATAGCGTAGACAGACACTGAGTATAGTGTAGACAGGCACTGAGTATAGTGTAGACAGGCACTGAGTATAGTGTAGACAGACACTGAGTATAGCGTAGACAGACACTGAGTATAGTGTAGACAGGCACTGAGTATAGTGTAGACAGACACTGAGTATAGTGTAGACAGGCACTGAGTATAGTGTAGACAGACACTGAGTATAGTGTAGACAGGCACTGAGTAAAGTGTAGACAGGCACTGAGTATAGTGTAGACAGACACTGAGTATAGTGTAGACAGACACTGAGTATAGTGTAGACAGGCACTGAGTATAGTGTAGACAGACACTGAGTATAGTGTAGACAGGCACTGAGTATAGTGTAGACAGGCACTGAGTATAGTGTAGACAGACACTGAGTATAGTGTAGACAGGCACTGAGTATAGTGTAGACAGGCACTGAGTATAGTGTAGACAGGCACTGAGTATAGTGTAGACAGACACTGAGTATAGTGTAGACAGGCACTGAGTATAGTGTAGACAGGCACTGAGTATAGTGTAGACAGACACTGAGTATAGTGTAGACAGGCACTGAGTATAGTGTAGACAGACACTGAGTATAGTGTAGACAGGCACTGAGTATAGCGTAGACAGACACTGAGTATAGTGTAGACAGGCACTGAGTATAGTGTAGACAGACACTGAGTATAGTGTAGACAGGCACTGAGTATAGTGTAGACAGACACTGAGTATAGTGTAGACAGACACTGAGTATAGTGTAGACAGGCACTGAGTATAGCGTAGACAGACACTGAGTATAGTGTAGACAGGCACTGAGTATAGTGTAGACAGACACTGAGTATAGTGTAGACAGGCACTGAGTATAGTGTAGACAGGCACTGAGTATAGCGTAGACAGGCACTGAGTATAGTGTAGACAGGCACTGAGTATAGCATAGGGAAGCTTGCAATCCTGATAAAAGTGGCTTGCTTTTGCTGCATGGTTTGAAGATCAGTTGCAAAGTCAATGAACTTTCATACATAGTGGGCAAATTGTTGAGCAGCCTATGAAAACTGACATCTTCATATATATATATATATATATATATATATATATATATATATATATATATATATATATATATATATATATATCCTAACATTTTGATGAACTTGTAAGGTCATTAAAAACAAAACAAAAACCTTTGCATTTTCATCACTTTGGGCCACTACTATGTTTGGTGTGGTTAGTGCCACAACAGTGCTATTTCAGACCCTGCTTACTGTGGACTGAAGGGCTCAAGTCATCACCAGTGCACTGCTGCAGTTTTCCACTCGCCAAAAATGTCATTATTACTTTTTATTACTGCAGTCAGAGCAATAATTTGTAGAGTGGAAGGAGTTATTACATTTCTTAAAAGGTCAGTTACAAAAAGAATACCTTTACGATCAAGCCTGTATCGTTTTTTTAACTGCCTGTCAATATACCATAATATACATAACATCATATACATGTACATAACTCCAATACATATGTTTGTTGGAAAGTTTGTGTCTCCTCCTCTTTGCTGCCATCTTGTTACTCCTAAACTAGGTTAGGATACCTCTCCAGCACTCTTAAATAATTTAGGAGCTGAGAACTCTTAACACCTATAGGAACCTTTATGAATCACACTTATTCTTAAGTTTAGGAATAAGAGTAAAATTACGTCAATCTTAGTATTTTGACACACTTAAGACAACGATTTTACTCAGAGCGGCTTTATAAATATGGCCCCTGGTGTCCACTACAGAGAGGACATAGCATAACATATGAATAAAACATAATTTTGTTAAAAAAAATTTTTTTCTCTATTTGTTTCTTATGCTCTTAACAATGTATGAAAAACACATGAAAAAAATGAAAAAATACTAAATGAAAAAAACTTTTTTTCTGGGTCTCAGTCTCAGGAGGATATAGAAACCAAGAGAATTCTAGAACAGCTCGGGAACATTCAGCGTTACTTTTCTCATCAACCTCAGTGCTCGTTTCTTCAGTAATCAACAGTTAATCCAATCAGAGACGGCAGCGCTGCTACTACGGTTAGAAAAGTAACACTCTTAATTTCTACTTCTCAAATGTCTCTTTCATTCGGTTGCCAAGCATTCAGCATCGATTCGTACTCTTGTGCCAGAATTTTCTGGAGACCGATTTTGCTTCATAATTACAAATGTCATCTTTTATGTGATATAAATATGAATCAATTCACAAATTATAATAAGTAAGAATGTGTTCCTACGAATAGTTTGTATAATGTAATTTACTTTCAATTATATCTGCATCATGACATTACATAAAACCTATAAAACTGATGGGGTTAAACTACAATACCTGGCAACCCATCTCCCGGCTACATTGATAATAGGCAGAGAGGCGGAGCGACGCTAGTGTCTTGGTAGATTCTGGAACCTCATGCCCACTATGGAGAAAGTAAGTAACTTGTATAGAACAGCCTGTATTATATAGTATGAAGAATATGGTGACTTTTTAAATCTTTGTGCAAAATAAACTGTTAAAATTTTTATAAGTGTTTTGCTTATTTTAAAGACGTACTCAGTGTAGCTCAATATACACCGCATCAATGATAGTAATGGCTAGTTGGCTAACAACGCGTTAGCAGCTGGATATGTCACGCTGTGCTTTAACCTGCGACCTGTGCGAACGATTCTTCAGCAATGGTTATCTTAAAGAAGTCAATCATTTATAAATACAGATCGGTTCTGTTTAAATTATGCAGGTTTATTCATCTGGTCGATCTTCTCCATCAGTTAGCAAGTTAGCATAAGCTCATGTCAGATCTAGAGACGTCTGTGTGTGTGTGTGTGAAGGGCGGAACGTCATTTCATTCAGCTAACGTTACTCGTGCTAAGACTAAACTAATGGCGTTTCTTATCTTTTCTTTTAAATGATATTACATGACATTCCAATCAAAGTTAGAAATATGTATAGCATTGTGAAGTCTCCATAATTCGGTAACCGTTAGAATAATGGGACATTTCTAATATAATTCTTTCTTAACATTTATTAAAACGAGTTGTTTTTATTGTGCTTATAAGGATAGTTAACCTCAAAATGAAAATTCTGTTATCATTTACTCACCCTCACGTTGTTCCAAACCTGTATGAATGAATTATTTCTTCTGCTGAACATAAAAGAAGATATTTTGAAGAATGTTGGTCACCCATTGACTTACGTAGTAGGTAAAAATAAATACTATTGAAGTCAATGGGAGCTGTCAACTGTCTGGTTATCAACATTCTTTAAAATATATTTTGTGTTCAGCAGAACAAAAACTAATACAGGTTTGGAACAACTTGAGGGTGAATCTGATGACAATTTTCATTTTTGGGTAAACTATCACTTTAACGATTGTAAAAAAAGAAGAAAAAAAGTCATGTTTATACCATAGGGTCTTTTTTCATTCACTTGGTATTATGCAATTCTTATTGGTCCCTATTACATAATTTAAGCTATAAAGCGAGAAGTGTTGCAAAGTGGGAGATTTGCCTGAATGTAATTTGTTACTCTGGGACATCACCTGTTACTGACGTTTTATATCAAATCTCAACAACAGATTTTGCACTCCTGAACACATCAAATGTGTCATCTCACACAGTTCACTGTTTCTAAGAGCTTCCATTTAAAACAACGTAGTAGTTTAGTTTAGGTCATTTAAAAACCAACACACTCCTAGGTAGGGTTGCTCCAGCCGTTAACAAGTTCACACTAACTCTGTACTTTATTTGGTTGCACTATTTGTTTTTAAAGTCACCATAGAATCAAACTTGACAATTCTTATTTATTTTATGAAATGTTGCACTATTTACCTGTCACTCACATGAGTTCAACCAATAGCAAATTACAACAATCCAATCAATTCCCGATGGACAAAATCAAGTCCCACCAATTTCACTCATATACAGACTTTATGCACCAGAGAAACAAGAGTGCAGCTGTCTTTAGAATTTTGTCATTGAACTTCAGTTTTTGTGGTAGCTCTATATATTTCTATGGCATTGCTATCAAAGAGTAATTAGCTGGTGAAGTGGATTTAACTATTGAAGAGTTTACAAAAGTTATCACGAGCATTGTAATGTTTGAAGCGGATGTCATAACAAATGTCAGTAGACTTGGAAGATTTTAAAACGAGCGGTTCATTCATAAATATGTAAAATCTTACTTTCATGCTGTGGAAATACAAACCCGAAGACAGAACACAACGAGCACAGTGCTGAAAGGGGGCGGGGCTACATAAGGTCTATACATAGTGAATACAAAACTTCTGTTTCATGCTGACTTTAAGACAGAACATAGCTAGCAGGTCGTGAGCTCTCTGTAAAGTAATGCATAGTGGCATAGCATGTTTACCTTCAATGAATTACCCCAGAAGTGTTTTCAGTTTATCCTTGATACTTTTGCAATCTTTTCCATTGAAATACGATACTAAAGTATTATATGTAAATAACATTCAGAAACTGTACTTGAAGTTAACAAGGATTAGTACAGAAATACTGATACAAAAAAAAAACAAGTGACATTGATTATGATTTTTTATTTTTTTTTACATTCACACTTAAAGCGTAAAAGTAATTTATTCACAATGCTCTCTTAACATGTAAATGTCAACATTATCATCTTTCTAAAGGTGCAAAACGCAAGTCTCTGAGTTTTTGCAGAACTACGCCCCCTCTGGCGACAAGCAAAACTGCAACCAGAGTTGTGCACGCTCATGGACCACAGGCATCTTTTATTGGATATGTTTTATGTTTCACGTTGTACTATTCTTCCGAACACAATTCCTAGTTTATGAAACTGTTCACTAACAATGGTAGTAAAACCAATTCTGATTGTACATGTATCTAGCTCACGCTAAAGCATTACACATTTTCGCATTGTCATTTGTAGTCATACATAGATTGGCCGTATCAAACATTAAAGACTGGGCTATATCTTACCGTTTTATCAAGAAAAAAGCCAACTGAGGGTCCCGTTTGAGACCAAGAGCAGACCGGAGATCTCTCCATTTGTTGAAAGCCTTCCCGAGGTTGACTCTCGTCTTACTCCGACGCCTGTCTGACTCCAATTTGGACCTTTTGGTGGCACTAGACAAAATTTTTCTTTTCTTTACTTTACGTGGAGTTTGCGTTGGGGTTTGGAATGGACTACAAGCCGGTCTCTTTGAATCCGTCTTCTACCTTTGACGCACGAGTTGTCTTCGCTGATGCGGAGAATGGCGGCGCCGGCGAATACACAAACCTGCGAGACATAGCCTGGTGAGCGTGAACGCGCATGACGTCACGCCCAGTCTCAAATTCGAGCCCGAATCCCTCTTATATATTTTACTGTACAGGATTATAGAGGCAATCTCAGTGCGCAGAGAAGGGCTCATTCAGCCCATCAGGCAGTTCTTTAAGCATGTATAGGATAGAAAAACAGGTATTTTTAACATGAAAAGTTGCGCAATGCACCTTTAAAAATTGAAGTTTGGCAGATGAAATAAGTGCTTATTGATGCAATTCAGTCAACCTGCTATTTTACGTCAGAGGCTTCCATAATCATTTAGTTTATATTTAGTGTGACATTTCAACTAAGTATAATGGTGCAAAATATTTAGTATTGCATAAGTTGCAACTTCAGCACAACTGGTGCAGCTGGCATGTTTCTAGTTAAATTAAGTGCTAAATATTGCTGCTGTTCCCACTTCTTATCCTGACGTTTAAAAAAAAAAACGTATTAAATGTAAAGGTTTACTTTTTATCTGTCCTTGTCTCTAGGTATCACAACTGAAAGATCAAGGTAACAAAGCGCTGAGCGCAGGAAATGTTGAGGAGGCGGTTAAGTGCTACACAGAGGCCCTGGCGTTAGACCCTTCCAATCACGTCCTCTTCAGCAACCGCTCTGCCGCCTATGCCAAGAAGGGCGATTATGACAATGCCCTGAAAGATGCCTGCCAAACAATCAAGATCAAGCCGGACTGGGGCAAGGTGAGTTGGTGATTTTTTTTGTTTGTTTTTTGTATCTTTTTCCCTGATAGATTAACATTTTTAGGGCTGCAGCTATTGGTTATTTTATTAATCGAGTATAGACCCCTTTTGCGCCGACGTCACAGTTACGTCACGGCGCTAACTGGAGGCAAAACAAACGGACAACTGGAGGCGGCTAATACAAACCAGCACAGATTCGGCTACATAATAAGGAGCTTAAATTATTATTATTATTAAATGTCATCTTGTTGTGTTGTTGGGTGCAAGAATCAATGCAAAATGAATATGCTGTATCTGGAATTTTTATTTCTAGAAACTATTCACATCATTAACATTGCACCGTAATGTCACTCTTTACATTGTCGTCTTCTCGGCGCTGGCTCGGGAGAACTGCGGATCGTACCACACAAGTCTTGTAAATGACCATTCAGCACATAGTTATAGGCATCTAAAGATTTATATGCCCTCAGTTTCTCTTTACGCTCGGTTTCTTTATCGGATAGGTGTAGAAGTCAGGCCACTCAACCAGAGGTAGCGTTAACGTTAATCCTGTCAGATCGTCCATCCATTGAGTGAGCGTGTACGGGTCAGCCAATCTAGTTCCGTCCGTTAAAATTAACTTTTGCAAATAACAATCGCGGTCCTGGACACTGAGTGACCTTGCACATTAAGATGAAATCGGATTTTCTCCAGTCATTGTTAAAAAACAAGCTAACAAAACTTGCAAACTAGCATTAGTGATGTGGCCAGAGGGATCGTTCTGCCTCTACCTAAGCTCCGCCCACAGAAAAACGTCACCATCTTTACCAACTGAAAAGGGGTCTATACTACCGATTATTCGAGTAATCGGATAAAAAATTGTGGTAATAAAAATAGATCCAAGTGAACAACAGCCTTACGTTATTGGAAATCTAAAGAAAAAGCACATGTAGAGACTGAGTGGAGCAGCGTTTACTGTGAACGAAGCTGAGGTACTTTTAGTAATCTGCACGGCACGCATGTAAATAAAGCGTCGTGCTTCTCTTTGGGGGAAAAAGTCTCAGCCTTTGTGATTTCACAATAGCACTATGCTATATTATGATTGTAAATAGTTTTAAATAAATCGCGTAGCCTTAAAAAACGGTGTAATAATGCGGTTCATGGATTCTCGTCCGTAGAACGGTCCACTTCCGTTAGGCAAGGCAAGCCAAGTTTATTTATATAGCACATTTCATACACAATGGTAATTCAAAGTGCTTTACATAGAAGAAATTAAAATAATCAAAACAAATAAGAATAATTAAAACAGTTTAGAATAAAAAAATTAAATACAGTACAGTAAAAACAGTCGGACGAACAGTGGCACAGTGCTCATTCAGTAAATGCATAGCCAAACAGATGTGTTTTGACACGGATAAATTGCAATCGTAGATTTTTTTTAAATCGAGTACTCTACTTTAATCGAGGAGTCGTGACAGCCCAGCTCTCTTCCTCTTCCAGGGCCATTCTTTATTTTCCATATGTTGTATTCTGTCTTTTTCAAGGGTTACTCGAGAAAAGCTGCTGCTTTGGAGTTTCTTGGGCGACTAGAGGATGCCAAAGCGACCTATCAGGAGGGGTTACGTCAAGAGCCGTCCAATCAGCAACTCAAGGAGGGACTTCAGAACATGGAAGCACGGTTAGCAGGTAAAGAATGTTTTTATTATTTTGCCATAGTTTTGGAAGAGCTACCACAAAGCCAGGGTTTTTCCTGCATTGAAAATAGTTTGCCGAACATTTACTGTGACGTTCCCTCATGTTCTGCAGTACAGGTACCGCACAGGTAGGGCAGTGCGTTTAATCGTAATTGATTTTCGATTTCGATTTTGGCTTCCAACAGTGATGGGAATAACGGCGTTATAAATAAACGGCGTTACTAACGGCGTTATCTTTTTCAGTAACGAGTAATCAAACGAATTACTGTTTCCCCCGTTACAACGCAGTTACCGTTACTGACAAAAAAAATGTGGCGTTACTATAATTGAACTCACTGAAGCGGCTTTCATCCGAGTAGGCTCTCTCTCCGCCATAAAGTTTTTTTCTCTGGTGTGTGTGTGTGTGTTTATGAGGCGCCGGAGAGGACAAAAGCGAAGCGATTGGCGCGAGCGCGCTCAATGCGCGAGAGAGACCGAATGTGTCCGAGAGCGCGCCCAACAGTTGCGCAAGAGAGACCACGGGTGTCCGAGCATTATATAGTTTGTTTATAAATAAATGACACATATCTGGAACGTTAATTAATTTACATGGTTATACAAATACAATCTAAAAAATTACCGTCAGGTAACGTTCTGTTTAGGTTATAAAATAAACCCGAAAATAACCTGCAGGCAACATTCACAGAAAACATCTTTGTTTGACCGGTTGTAAACACGTGCGGCAAACATGTCTAGAATTTGGTTTAAATAATCTCTGATGATGACGTTCGCTATAGGTTATAAAAATAAACCCCCAAAATATTATATTTTAGTATTATTATTTTTTTTTTTTGGTAAATTGTTTAGTATTATATTGAGAGAGCACTTGTTAAACTGTTTACTTTTGTTAGGAAGAAAATACTCAGGCTACAGTATGTCTACTAGTTGTGAAGTTGTGTAACAGTTTTATCATTTTAATATGCACAAAGAGTATGTATATTTTTTTATTATTATTTATTCATTTTTGGTACATTTCTTAAGAAGCATAATTTATTTTTAAACTTATTTGTTGGCCAGTTGGGGTCTGTGCGATATTAAGTAAACCATCTATAATGTTTTATTGTTCTACTATAGTAATGCTAATATTTAGAATAATATATTGAATTTAATAGTCGTCTCTCACATTGTCCCACAGCAACATTAAAATAGAATAAATTATTATTATAAAACATTGAACACTAATCTACTCTATTAAGTGTCCATTTCATTAATTTAACATATTTAATACTGGGGGCATCCAAATTATTTGACATAGGCCTATTTGATTTTTTTTTTTTTTTAAGTAACGCAATAGTTACTTTCTCTGGTAATTAGTTACTTTTATAATGATGTAACTCAGTTACTAACTCAGTTACTATTTGTGAGAAGTAACTAGTAACTATAACTAATTACTTTTTTTAAGTAACATGCTCAACACTGGCTTCCAATGATTATGAAAACGAGATAATCAAGTCAAATCGATTATTGTGCCGCTGCCTCCTTCCGTCCAGCGCACTTTCCTTTCCTTCACAGCGGTGCGCTTTCATTCCTCCCCAAAAGCATTGTAAAAGTGTTGTAAAATGCAGTCTACTGTTGATGAACTGCGGGACGTGTTTGATATTAAACAGTGTTATTAAATGAGCATTGGGTGAATAAATGATGACTGAATTTTCATTTTTAAGTGAACTACTATTTTAGGTAAATGTACACAGTTTACTAAAAACACATTTGTAACAGTATATTGGATCGGTGCATTTAAAGTGACAGCAGCCTAATATACCAGCTGCAGTCTCTCATTAATGATAGTCAAACAACAATTGGCAAAAGAATACCACTCACTGATCTTGACTGAATAACTTAGTAGCTTTAATGAGGATTCATCTATATTTAATGTGCACAGTAAGACTATGCAGTGTTATTTTACATTTGATTATTATATTTTTAGTTGTTGGCTATTATTTATCTGAATACCACTGTTAGTACAACTTCCTGAAAAACTTAAAACACTTTATTTTATTCATAATTAGTTCTTTGTTTTATTGTATTGCTGACTGTTTACTCGTCTTATGTTAATTATTTTAGAATCCTTTTCTTACATTAGTTAACATAGTATTAGTTTTTGCTGAAGTATCAATAATTGTGAAATTTCACTAATATTTAATAAAACTCGTACCGGAAAATAAGCCTTGATCATATCGCCCACCAATAAAGTTTTTTTTTTTTGCCCCCACTCTCTGACCCCCTGAAGGCCGCTGTGTATTTCACACCCTGACTAAGAGACATTGGGGGAAGCATTTAAATAATCCTATGAATGCATATCAAAAATCCAGAATCGAATCACATCGAATTTTAAGGTGAATCGCTTCGAATCAATGAAAACCTATGAATCGTGAATCGAATCAATTCCCCGTCTATCCAAAGATTCACAGTCATACCAACTGAATTTTTTTCTGACTTGTTCAAGTCAAAATATTCACTCTCAGTCTGAATAAGCCTTAAAGCACATATATCTTTGAAACTGGTGTACTTTAAGCCTTTTAAGCCTCTTTGGGTAAAAAGCAGAAAGCCTAGTAGGTTTCCACCTCATTTCCACTAGGCCTTTTTTTAGTACCTTTTTTCTTTTCTTTCTTAGAATAAATGGTTATTTGTAGTGTGTGGTGGAGCATGGCAAGAAACAGATAAATCCTCAGGTTTACTGTGATGACTAATGTTGTCATGTACTTTTCAGAGAGGAAGATGATGAACCCATTTTCCATTCCCAACTTGTATGAAAAGCTGGAGGGTGACTCTCGAACCCGAGCGCTGCTGTCGGACCCCAGCTACAGGGAGTTGCTGGAGCAGCTCAGGAACAAGCCCTCAGAGCTTGGCACGTAGGTGTTCTCTGTACCTTTCCGCTGCTCGCTTTCTCTGCGTCTGTCTTAGCAGAATGTACAGTTATGCTGGGGCCACACCAAAAGATATTTCAAATCTTATACGATTTTCAAAATGTGAGAGACCACAAACATGAGGACAAATAATCCTAGATTTAACAAGTTTTGCTCCAAGAGTGCGTGGTGTGCCGCGATGTGAAGGAGACAGCACACCACACATGAACAGATTTTCAACCAGAGTCCCGACTGTGAAAGTCTCGCAAATCTCTCGAGACTTCAGAATAAACTTTTCGGACGATAGGCAGGAAGAAATTGCTATGATAGTGATTGGAATGCTTTTGACTGAACATTGCCACAAATCGAAAAGCTGGTCCTCCATCTCTGATGTCCGTATCCATTTCACACAGCTCGCTTTCTGATTGGGTATCGTTTCGTTCCACCTGACAATTCTCGGGGTTCCCCCCCCCCCCCCCCACATCAGGATTTCTGATCGTAAATATTCAACATATTTACGATTCGAGATCGGGGCGGCTCCGAAGTTCTTCCGAGCAGGTTCAGTCACTCTTTACACACCTCACACCACAGGAACATCTGATAAGACTATCTGTAGAACCATCAAGATAATCGGGACTTCATTTAGGATTGTTGGAAGGGGAGAAATCGGCCCGAATATCTTGTGGTGTGACTGTGGCCCCAGCATTATCTGTTCATTATCACAAAAAAAAAAAAGTGCAACGCTAAACGAAGGTCTCTTGTATAGTGGTTGGCCATATATTGCATTATGGGATACAATATCCCACACGATGACCCCGTGTACTGCACATTTTGGCAAATAGTAGGTTATCTGGGTATACAGTAAATTGTCATACTTTGTACATGCTGTATTTTCCAATAAATGTGAGTAGTATGCCTTTTCTAGCATATTCTAAGAATTTGTTGTAATCTAGTTGTTTTTTTTGTTTTGTTTTTTTACTGTAGTAAACTGCAGGACCCTCGTGTGATGACCACTCTCTCAGTGCTGCTGGGGCTGGATCTGTCTGGCATGGATGAAGATGACGAACCGACTCCGCCCCCTCCTCCTAAACCCAAAGAGACAGCTCCGCCCCCTCCCAAACAGGAAGACCTGCCAGAGAACAAGAGAATGGTACTCTTTGCCAAAGCACATGGTTTGGTATAGCATCACTGTACATGTAGTGCTCTGACTGAAGTGGCTAAATGCGTGTGTCTGACCTTAACCCTGACCAGGCTGTGAAGGAGAAGGAGCTGGGAAACACTGCATATAAGAAGAAAGATTTTGATACTGCACTGAAGCACTATGAAGAAGCTCTAAAGCACGATCCCACCAACATGACCTATCTTTCAAACCAAGCAGGTAAGAATTCTATATATTAGATATGTGGTGCAGTGGTTAAAGCTACGGTGTGCATTTAAAGGGATACTCCACCCAAAAATAAAAATTCTGTCATTTACTCACCCTCAAGTTGTTGCAAACCTGTATGAGTTTCTTTCTTCTGCTGAACACAAAGGAAGATATTTTGAAGAACGAATGGAACCAAACAGTTGTTTGACACCATTGACTTCCATAGTAGAAAAAAAAAAATACTATGGAAGTCAATGGTGCCAAAGTTCCAATCGTTCTTCAAAATATCTTCCTTTGTGTTCAGCAGAAGAAAGAAACTCATACAGGTTTGCAACAACTTGAGGGTGAGTAAATGATGGCAGAATTTTCATTTTTGGGTGGAGTATCCCTTTAAGTAGAGGTTAGCAATAGCAAGCTAGCTTTGGATCACATTAAATGATCAAGTAAATCTTTGGTGGGACAAAGATTCTTTTTGGCAGCCGTCAAAATATTTTGAATTCAGGAACAACCCTGCAACTGAAACTAAATTTAAATGCAATAAAATCTGTAAATTCTCTGTACTTTTGTGAAATCGTGGAAATATGTGAGAATCATGTAACCAACAGTACATTTTATTGATCTATTATAACTTATGCTGTTTTGGTCTCTTGGCTGTTTCCTTATAACGGTCCAGAAATGTAAGTTTTTCGGTGTGTTATGCTCTGTTTTTAATATGATGTCATTACGTTGCCGTCAGCCGATCGCCGCATTGCTGCTCGTGGTTTCGGGTATTGATATATCTGGCCTTTCCAATGAACACAGGAACACAGTAATCTCAGACAAATTAAACCGATATTTTAATCAAATCCGCAAATTCATTTGAAGAACCAAATTAGCCAGAGGTAAGTTATAATGATTAGAAGAGCTGGCATTTGTCATAATATAATCTTTATATATATCTCCGTATAATCATTTAACCACTTATAAACAACAGTGAGATGCATAGCACCAAAACAAGAATGCATCCTTTTTGTAAATGCTCATTATTGTGTTTGTTAGCTCTTGCCCTTCCACTTTGCTTTGGTTCAAGTGTGCAAATTAATGGTTTGGTGGTGAGTTTATATTTTTTTAAGTCTTAAATAGGATGAAGCCACCTTAACTACTCTTCACAATCACACAACTGCTGGATACTTCTGATTCAAATGATTTGTTTTCACTCTCTCAGCTGTACATTTTGAAAAGGGGGATTTTGAGAAGTGCAGAGAGCTTTGTGAGAAGGCCATTGAGGTGGGCAGAGAGAACCGAGAAGACTACAGACAGGTTGCCAAGTAAGTTCGTTTTCTGTACTAGAACAAAACTGAAAAATAAATGTTAATTTAAACGTGGTTATGGTCTAATGCAGTAGTTGATTTCCATTAGAAGTGTAAACGTTTCGTACTCGTCAACTTTAAACTTTCTCCTTTGGTTGCTTTACAGTATGTACAAAATCTCTTTCTTCCTGTCCTTTTGCAGGGCATATGCCAGGATTGGTAACTCCTATTTTAAGCAGGAGAAGTACAAAGAGGCGGTCCAGTTCTTTAACAAGAGTCTGACAGAGCATCGCACACCTGACGTCCTCAAGAAATGCCAACAGGTCATTGAGATTTGTTGAAAAATCCAGATATCCTAATAAATCTTTCCTGTTAGACTGTGGTGTCCAGGGGCCTCATTTATAAACGTTGCGTACGCACAAAAGAAGGCGTACGCCGCTCTCTACGCAATAATTGGTATTTATAAAAAGCAAACTTGACGGTAAAATGCGCGGTCCTTCACGCAAGCTCTGACCCAGGCGTACGCACAAAAACGGGTGAAATGAGAAATGGCGACACCGTCGGCAGATGGAAGAAACACGTGAAAGTGTGTGAAACTGTAGACCGTTGTGTAATGGCAATACTGCCTCTCATAAATAACACGAAGACATCACAAAGCAAGTATTACAATTAACAGCCTACACGAACACCCGTTTGATCGATCTGCAACAGAAATGCAAATTAACACATATTTGCAAAAAGAAAAGTGAAATATGTTCTGCAATAATATTGGCATGTTATACAATTCATCCTCATAAATAAGATGGTAAACCAAACGAAATAATGTACAAAACTGATATTCTCGCCAATGTGTCCGTCTGGTGGAGCAGATATAGCTAGATAGTCAGTCAGATAGATAATTAGGGATAAATAAATAGATAGATAGATAGATAGATAGATAGATAGATAGATAGATAGATAGATAGATAGATAGATAGATAGATAGATAGATAGATAGATAGATAGATAGATGTATTATTTGTCCACTGGGGAAAGTTGTTTTCATAGTAAAAATGTCTTCATCAGCTACGTTATCATGGTATTCATGCATATGCCTTTAGTTTGTTTTATTTTTGATAAAATAACGTATGACGTATGTCTCAACCATTCAGAAAGCTGCAAGAAATTACATTTGCGCTGAACTATTTCCCATTTCCAAGTAGATTATAACCGACATCTGTAGCTTGTCATTTCTTTTTTATTTCGGCCACAGTCCGAGGTTGTGAGGCTATACAGCATTTACGGCGTCTGCAACCTTTTGCCACTCAAGTGCCTTTTTGCCATTAGTAATGCCCACACTGTGCCCTCCAAACAACATTTTTTCTCCTCTTTTCCACCTCGCCAACGATAACTTCTACTTCACATTGAGTGAAGTTACGTTTTTTTGATTTCCTCTATGTTTGCCATGATTTCGCAATCGATGAATATTAACTTGTGGGCGTTTCACGGACTATTTATGGGCAACTATGGGTGTGACATGAAGCCGCAAAAGCTGCGCTACATTTAGAATTGATTGTGATTTATTAAAGGAAAAATGCGTAGGATGTGCGTGCGCACGGTTTTATAAATCCAAATATTTCTGTGCGTACGCACGTCCTATGTTTCATCCGTACGCCACTTCTGACGCAGATTCTACGCAAAGTTTTATAAATGAGGCCCCTGGTCATAATTCACCTCCAAATTAAAGTGATGAAATCTTGCAGGCTGAGAAGTTTTTGAAGGATCAGGAGAAGCAGGCCTACATCAATACAGATTTGGCTCTTGAAGAGAAAAACCAGGGCAATGATGCCTTCCAGAAAGGTGTGTATATGAACCAAATCCACATTGCTGTACCCTCACACAGGAGATTCCAATTTTGAAAATAAGATATGTATAGTAATTGTTAAGATTGCGATTCGAATTGTTCTGTTTGTGTGTATTTTGAAGGTGACTATCCTTTGGCCATGAGACATTACTCCGAGGCCATCAAGAGAAACCCTTATGATGCAAAACTCTTCAGCAACAGAGCTGCCTGCTACACCAAACTACTGGAGTTCCAGCTGGCCCTTAAGGTACAATCACACCTCAGGCCTCCAGGCTGTTATTTAAGAGCAGTGGCACTGGTGCCACTAACATCTTCAGATGGTGGCACCAGCTCCTGATTTAGTAGCACCGCACATATAATATCAATAATATTAGATGTTTGTCTCTTAGAAATATACATTTGACAGTAGCTTGAGTTGACTGTACCTTGAGCTAGTTGGAATGCGGATATGCAGTGTAACTATTAGCCTGGTTAAAACCATAGATATAAACACTAGATGTCGCCTTGGCTACGGCAGTTCATTGGAACGAATGCGTCAATAGAGCCGCCATCTTGAAACAGGGGAACCCCTCATCAGCGTCAATGTAGGAAAAGGTCTAACGTAAATAAAATCACCATAAATCGTCATGAATGCGATTTTCTAGTTGTTTTGGTTCGTTCCAACGGTCAGACATGTATTTATTATAGAGTCCAGAGAAATTTAAAATAATTTAAAAAATTTCACAATCTTGTGAAATGTAATCCCTTGCTGTCTGGTTTTTAGATTTCGTTCGTGTAAACATCCATACGCAGCACAAAAGTCCGGCATCATCCATGAATTCAGCGTTACCTAGCTACTTCCTATGACAAGACCCCTGTTCCAAGATGGCGGCGGTTTTGACGCATGTTTAGAACCCCAAGGCGACATCTAGTGTTTATATCTATGGGTTAAAACCAGATCATTCTCAGTTGTAACTGAGTTATGGTCTGGCAAAGCGTCATAGACAAATCATTTCCAGAGGGGCGTCGCCAACGGACGTCGCGGATAGACCTAAACCCAATCAGAACGATGAAGGAGATGACGTATGCAGAGCGGCAGAAACATCTTAGAGTGTTGTTCTTTGCTCGGTTTTTAACATAAAGGAAACGTTCAAATCGCTTAAAACAGATGCGATAGCTGATTCGAATGAGTGATGTTCGACGGCGGCATCCATCTTTGTAATGTAGGCTACAAAATCTGCTTCAAAATCCCAGCGCTGTCGTCATCGTGTAAAGGCCGCCCCAACGTTTCTGATTGGTGCCTCGATTTCGACGGATTGGAAATGGGCTTGAATGAGCTCTTTGCCAGACTAACTTTCAGAGCAAATCTAAATTTGCCGGAGGTTGTCTGGGTTTTCCCAGGCTATGTAATTATATTTAAACCGAACAGAAAAACCGCGATACACCACCCATGGTACATATCAAGATATATATATTTTGTTATATTTCAACAAAAAATTTGAGTAAAAACATATATAGAAACTGAATTTAGGCTAACCTGAAATATAATAGTAATGTGCAAGTAAGGGCTCCCTATATAGTTAACAGCATTAGCAGGGATAAAAAAAATATATATATGTCCTTAAGAAACTTAATTATTATTTTCTAGATGAGATCTTTGACTAGTTGTTAACTAGTTTACCATTCTGTCTTGTCTCTGTTAACCATCAACTCTTGGTCTGTTTATCAGGACTGTGAGGAGTGCATCAAACTGGACCCTAACTTCAGTAAGTGCTATACATTTTGTTTGCTTAACTTCTCTGTGACTGCAAGTTATTGTTTTCTGCAAAAACCTTACACTATCCACTTTCACTTTATTTAGTTAAGGGTTACACACGCAAGGGAGCAGCACTGGAGGCTATGAAGGACTTCTCTAAAGCAATGGATGTGTACCAGAAAGCTCTAGATCTCGATTCCAACTCAAAGGTATGGCAAAACTAATGCATCTCTGAGATTTTTAGGAGTATTGTGCTGGTGAAGATGGCCCTACACCGCTAACATCATATTTCTCCGTCACTACAGGAGGCCACAGAGGGTCTGCAACGCTGTATGATGAGCCATGCAACACGTAACGACAGTCCAGAGGATGTGAAGCGGAGGGCCATGTCCGACCCAGAGGTGCAGCAGATCATGAGTGATCCTGCCATGCGCATGATCTTAGAGCAGATGCAGAAAGACCCACAGGCCCTCAGCGAGTAAGAAAAGCTAATATTTTATATATTTGAATTTAGGAAACTTTGCTTGTTACTGATTTAGATTTAATTAACTGTACAATTAAATGTAGAACTGTTACAATACTACCATAATTTGCAATTATTTACCAAAGTATGCAACATGAATCCAGCATTACTCTGAGATTTAGGGGGAAAACTTAATTGTCATGAGAATTTCAATCGCAAAAAATCGTAATGGTACAAAAATGTTCTTGAATTTGTGGAATTTGCACAAATATAATTTTAAATATGATTTTTTAGAATTTTTTTAAATCCTATTTCTTCTGCAATTTCTCCAGTCATCTAAAGAACCCTGTCATCGCTCAGAAAATTCAGAAACTGATAGATGTTGGGCTAATAGCTATTCGGTGATCCAAGGAAACCAGAAGAAAACCAGGACATTTTTCATCTCCAGAACAACAACAGAAGAATACGAAGGATGGCGGCATTCCAAATTATTTACTTCATCAAATTTAACAGGCACTCTTACCCTTCTCCTCCCAATCGTCCCAATAGGAATGTATTTTTTTTAAAGCCTTAATTGGATTGAAAATGCAACGGTCTTTCCTCTGCACTACATTCACTAGTGTCAGTTGTACAAGTCGTGGTTTTCAGGCGTTACAGTGTTACAGAACGAAAAGATCTAGCCAGAGTGTTAAAAGAGTAGTTTTGAGCCTTCATATTAAAAGCTTTTTTTTTTTTATTCATTTTTTACATCTCAATATTTGCCATTATTATTATTTTTTCATTTTAGTATAATTTCATAATGCTTAAATGCAGATATGTCATTCTGAATCTGTCCTCTTTATGATTTTTGTACTTGTTTTTTCCCCCTGCTTTGGAGGAGAAGAGGGGAGTGGAGCGATATGACATTAGCTTGCCATCAGTGATTAATTTTCACATAGTAGGCCTGTTAGAAATCTGTCTGTCTCTGAATCTGAATGCTTTGCTATTATTGTACTATATAATGCACTTCTATGTGTGGGGAAGAGGTTCACCGCTCAGAGGGCTTGTTCAAGCTAAATCGCCTCTCACCTGTTTCGCTTCAGTTCATACTTTGCGATCGATTAACTGACTGTGATTTCAGCATCACCATATTGAAATGCAACATCAGTTTAATAAAGTTCTGGATCCATGAAGTTGTGTGATGTTTGTGTAACTCAACATGCATTCGATGTGTTTATTTGGAATTTTACACCAAATGCAGATTGTGTGTAGTATTTGAACAAAGTACACACATGAGCCAAAACATTATGGCCACCCGTAATATGGTAAATGGACTGCATTTATATAGCGCTTTCACAGACCCAATGGCCACCAAAGCGCTTTACATTTTTGCCTCACATTCACTCACTCACTCATACACCGACGGCCACCCGTAATATGGTAAATGGACTGCATTTATATAGCGCTTTCACACATGAGCCAACACATTATGGCCACCCGTAATATGGTAAATGGACTGCATTTATATAGCGCTTTCACAGACCCAATGGCCACCAAAGCGCTTTACATTTTTGCCTCACATTCACTCACTCACTCATACACCGACGGCGGTGTCAGCCATGCAAGGTGCCATCCAGCTCATCGGGAGCAGCTGGGGTTAGGGGTCTTGCTCATGGACACCTCGACACTTGGTCAGGTGGAACCGGGGATTGAACCACCAACCTTCTGGTTTGTAGACAACCTACATAACCACTGAGCCACTGCCGCCCAATATTCTGTTGGTCCTCCAAAACAGCGCCGACCAGCCGAGGCATGGCCTCTACAAGACCCCTGAAGGTGTCCTGTGGTGTCTGGCACCAAAACGTTAGCAGCAGATCCTTCAAGTCCGGTAGGTTGCGAGGTGGAGCCGCCGTGGATTGAAGTCGGTGGACCAGCACATCCCACAGATGTTCAACTGGATTTAGATCTGGGTAATTTGGAGGCCAGGGCAACACCTTTAGCTCTTTATCATGTTCCTAAAACCATACCTCAAAAATGAGGCCACTTCCACCAGGGAACAGCATTGTCAAGACGAGGGTGTACTGATCTGCAACAATGTTTAGGTAGGTCGCACATGTCAAATTTACGTCCACGTAAATGGCCGGACCCAGGGTTTCCCAGCAGAACATCGCCCAGAGCATCACACTTCCTCCACAGGCTTGTCGTCGTCCCACAATACATCCTGGTGCCATGACTTCCCCAGATAAATGATGCACATGTACATGGCCATCCGGACTCATTGGATCAGGTGACCATCTTCCACTGCTCCAGTTCCGACGCTCACGTGCCCATTGTAGCCGCTTTCAATGGTGGACCGGGGTCATCATAGGCACTCTTGATAGTTTTGTGGCTACATAGCCCCATACACAGCAGAGTGCGCTACACTATGTGTTGTGACACATTCCTCCCATGCATATTTAAAGTTTTGTATGATTTGTGCACCAGTAGACCTTCTGTTGGCTTGGACCAGACGGAATAGCTTTCGTTGCCTTCGTACATCGATGAGCCTTGGTCACCCAACACCCTATCGTCGGTTTGTGGTTCGTCCATCCTCGGACCACGGTTGGTATTCTCACCACTGCTGACTGGAAGCAACCCACAAGCCTTGCCATTTCAGAGATACTCCAGTCACCTTGCCATAATTTGATCCTTGTCAAAGTCGCTCAGATCTTTATTCCTGCATTCCTCCAGCTTCCAACACGTTGATTACGAGAACCGATTGTTTGCTCATCATCTAATCTACGCAGACCTTAATATGTGGCCTTGTTAGAAGATGATCAACATTCCATTTCACCGGTGATTGGCCTTAATGTTTTGGCTCATGTATGTAGGGAATGCCAGGATGACCTGTGAAACAATACAGTGTGTGTACAGTAAACAGAACACAATGTTTGGAGTGCCATATCCCACAATATGTGTTCAATGTGAACCGACTGAACAAGAAGCAATAGCCAACTGCCATTTCCTTGATACATTGGCTTTGTTTATATGGAGTACTGCCTTCAATTTTAAAATTATATAAATGGTACACATTATGCAGTATCAAACAGTATTTCGTGGCATGTGACTTCAATTTGTGCATGTTTGATTCCACCATCTGATTCACATAATACACAATCAGCTGGGAGAGATTGGTGTTTTGGTGTGATGGTACTAAATTGCAAGACTGTAAACTGTCCACCATAACAGGTATGTAAGTTTTTTTTTCTTTTTTTTTCCTTTTCTTTGAGTGTTACCATCCTAGTAGTATACAAGCTAGGTCAACCTGGACCAGACTACCGGTCAAAATTTTAGAAAAGTTAAGATCTTTACACATTTTCGAAAGAAGACTGTTATGCTGACCAAGGCTGAATTTATTATTGTGACAGTAATATTGTAAAATATTATTAAAATTGTAAATAACTTTTAGCTTTTTTGCTTGAATATATTTTAAAATGCAATTAATTCCTGAATTACTCCAGTCTTCAGTGTTATGTAAAAAGTAATAACAATAATTTTTTTTTTTTAAATCAGACTTGGAAAGAATAAGAAAACATAAAAAAAAAAACCCGAAATGATTCCTAACTTTTGACCAGTTTATAACCAGCAAAAAAACAGGTATTGTTACACATATTGTAGGCAATCTGGGCATTGAAAAGGAAGTAAATCAACGGCTCCTGACTGTTATTCTGAATGTTATTAATGACACTATACAATGATTTACATTTTACAGCTGCCGACGGATTTCGCGGGGAAACGCATATGTCAGCCGCCTGTGCGTCAAATATCAGTACAGAAATAAGGTTTGTTGTCATAAGTTAACTACTTGGAAAACGCTTCATTCAGTCACGGCAAACCTCCAGGGAATCACCGGGATTGAAAAACAAAACAAAAAATTACGTTATTTATTTCCCAGCAAACACGTGTATGTGGGGCCCACATGGGTTACACATGGGCTACGTGGGTACAGAGTGGGCATGGGCTCAAAATGGGCATCTTATCTGGGGCCCAATTGGGTCAACTAAGTAGGTCCAACATGGGCAAACCCAGGTGGGCTCCCCATATGGGACCTAGTTGGTTCACTAATGGGAAATTGAGTACATGGGTTGAAAATGGGCTACAAGGGGACTAATTCAGTTTACCAAGACAAGTGCAAACAGTCAATCCAAAAGATTGATTACACTGCACCTTTGAAAAAAAAATTATTGTTATTTTGACACTTTAACATGTGACTTTAATCTATTAAAAATCTATAAATGCCAACACAATTGCAATTGTACCCAATTTTTGCAATTTAAAATGACCAAGAAACTGCGGATACACCAAAAAAAAATGGGCGCCATTGCACTCTCACTCATTCTGCTGTAATTTTCGGGAGGAGATTCTTGCTGTATTCAAGGTAAGAACTACAATCTTTTAAAAACTGAAATGTTAATTAAATACATTGTTTCTCAAAACATAATGTTAACCAAAAGCTTATTGTCACGTTAGAATTTCAGTTAGAATTTCGAGTTCCCTCAGATCGCGCCATTTTCCCTTATTTCTGGCGCTCTGCACGCTATTATAGCAAGTAACATTCTTAGTTTCTTATAATTGTTAAAGGTCAACTCTCCCAAAAATGCAACCTAGGGCCTTTTTGTGAATCTACCCGAGGCAAACCTTTGTGACCGTATTTTAGCTGTTGTTGTTTCCGGCCGCCGGTTTCTTGTCAGTCAAAAATAGTCGAAATAATACTATTTGAACTGTGTATTATAAGTTGATTGGAGTTGAGACTCCAGCTTAAAAATTGTTCCACTGTTTTACAATATAAATCCCACAATGGCAGCAATTTCTTAATTTTTATAAGATGTGCACATTAAACACCCAAAATGAAAGCAGGACTTATTCGAATTTAATTAACGTTACCAGACAAGCCTGTTTAATCTGTCTGCTACCGTCTATATTGTGATCACAGAACAGCATCATACAGCGTCCATTTTAGCTTTTATTCTAAAAGTGTGCACATTCAATACAATATTTAGGCTACATTCTTGATGTTTAATTTTAAATAAATCTTTAATAAATGTCTATTTTGTCACAGAACAACTAGTTTTCACTGAATTATGAGATCTGAGAAGCTTTAACACCATCTCGGCAACCCTTTGGATTCCTGTGCTATTTTTTCCTTTCTTTATTTAGTGCTAATTCAAAAACAACTGCACAAAAGATACCCAATATAGTTACACTTTAGAATACTGTTTCAAATAATTAGTTATTCCTTTTGATGGATTTGGTAACACACATGTACAGAATTTTAAACGTTTACAGGGGTAAGTCGTGATTTTATTGCCTTCTGAATCCATAATGTTAGTGTATTGTATTGTATGTATTGTGTATCTATCTAGTGTATGACTCGATACACAATACACACAATAGATTACTACTTCTGATGTAAAATAGCCATCGATTAACCTATGGCTGCACGATTTGGGAGGAAATGTAATTGTGATTATTCAGGTAAATTTTTGTGTGTTGTCTCCCCCATAATGATAATCTTGTTTTTCCTTAGGTTGGCATGGTGGACTCACTCTCGCTGTTATCCAAGGTAAATTATCAACACTATCACCCCTTACATGTGTTTTATTTAACTAAATACATCATAATCAGCTAAAAAGCATGCGCAGGTCACTTTACTTCCTGAACAAGTGCGCACCCGAGTCCGTGTTGCTTTCACATTCACGCGAACCGCAGCACGGATCGAGTGCAACCGAACTCAGAGCGCCTCCTCCAGGCAGTCTCGGGTTCAGTACCCCAGTGCGCACCCGGGTCCGCATGACAGCGTTCACATTAGCGATTTTTCATGCAAACAGTGCTACGTTCCGAACTAAACTGCCAGTGTGAAAGCACCCTAGACTTTTCAAGTAAGCCAACTGAAGTAGCCTACTGTACACGTTAGCGCCTATTTGTTTACGCTAGTAACTGCTAGCTAGGAATTCACAGGCTAAGTGACTGAGGGTGCTTTCACACTGGCAGTTTAGTTCGGTAACTAACTAACATTAGCCCAGTGCATAACAACAATCGTTGATTGCTGAACAGAAATCGTGTCAGATGTGGAGTGTCATACAAGTAGCCTACTGTAAGGTTGAGGATGGCCTTATGCAATATTTACACTGCTCTATTCCAGTAGATAAATGTATAGTCTATGTCTTGACAATGAATTTTATATTGTATTTCCTGAAAAATGTCAAGGTGGAGATAACTGCTTTGCTGCAAGGGCTCAAATATGGAATTTAATCTCACTCTAATGCTCTTTTATGTATTTTTCAGGAGGCTTGAAAAAAATGCACTTACAAACCAAATTGCCAGAAGAGACGCTATGTCTTGACAATGAAAGGGCAGTGTCAAAGTGGCTAATCGGTGCCAGGGACAGGGGAAGAAAGCGTACTGCGAGGGAACATGGTGGAGAGCAAGATGGGTAAAAGTCTTAAGATATGCTTGTTTTAATATGGAAATACAAACTTTTAAAAGACAAGAATGATTGTAGCCAAAAGATATTGAATCAGGGGTTTTCAAACTTGTCCTGGGAACCCTCAGCACTGCACACCCACTTCAGATCTAGCAGTTTCTACAAATGAGCTAATGTGATGAATCAGGTGTATTAGATGTGGGAGACATACAATGTCTGCATCCGAAAACTTAGGCAGCTGACTCATTGCCTCGCTGCCCTATCAGGCAATGTCTTAGCAGGCAGCGTTTACACACTAAGGTGCCTCACAAAACTGATTTTAGACAGACTTATGAGGCAGCATAATGGTTTAACAACAAAGTGAACATTTAATGACTTGAATATTGAAATGACTTCAAAAGAGGTAAAAATGGGTCAAAATGTACATTTTCTGCATTCAGTATGTGCAGATGGTGTTCCAGGACAGGTTTGCAAACCCCCTTATCTTGATAAACTTGATGTGGGGCACCAAAAGGCTAACCTGACACATCTGTTTGAACTGTGAAAAGGAATTAAAAAAAGTGGAAAATGGTTGATTCATTTATTTTCTCTTTTCAAAGGACCGTTGGGAGAGCGACGACAGAGGAGTGAGAAGCTGTTTTGGAAATTGTCAGGAGCTTTAACTTTTTTATAATTAACATTTTGATACTTGTGTTTTATAAAGTTGTAAATGTGCAATGTTCTAATAGTCGTGTTAAAATTGTTATTATAACTTGTTTAATAAAGTAAAGCATGAACTACTGCTTCTGTTCATTGAATACCTTTAACATTTTAGTGTAGTTTAGTGGATTACATGTAATGTTTGTATTCAGGGGTTTACTGTAAAATAAGGTAACCCAAACAAACAAATATAGTAGCCCATATATATACCCGTTGTGGCCCATAAGAGCCCTAGATAAGACCTATCTGGGTCCCATCATCAACCCATGTGGGCAGACTCCTGTAGGCCCTAAATGGGAGCTACCTAGGTTACCCATATGGGCCCGATATGGAGCCCATCAAGATCCCATCATCAACCCATCTGGGCTAACCCATGTGGGGCCTCCATGGAAACTGAGGACAAAATTACCTGGGTCCCAGTTGGGTAGCCCAGGTGGGCCCCAGATATCAGCCCAAGTACAACCCCTTTGGGCCCCACATGGGTGTGTTGGCTGGGTTGTCCATCCGCTGTGATAAATTATCCTGGCTGTATGTCGGCGACTCGAACCATCATCCGCACAAAGGAACCACAATCTAAACAATGTTCGTTTTCAAGACGCATGCAGTTTTACATTTTTTAACCGAGAAGGCCAAAAGTTATTGTAGCTTTAAAGGTATGCCTACAGTGGCTATTTTTTTTTTTTTTTTTTTTTTTTGCTCGGTCTTATTCGTCTTCAAACTATTCATACAACAATAGTGATGGCTTTTATAACTATTGACATGGCTGCATTAATTTTTATTAACTCAGATTGCAAAACAATCATGCCATCTCACCTTTGAAATAGAAAAAATAGTGCACATTCAAAGAGAAGCCAGCATTAATCTGGGCATCTATTTTTGTTGCAGTGCTTCAAAATCTACCCAGCAGGGAGCACTATGGTTACTAGATCTGTTCATGTATAAATACAGTAATCTTAAGAAAAGTCAAAATTATTAAACTTTGAGGGAGCAGAAATTTTCAAGATCCCTTCCATGTAATGAGCTCAACTATCGATAGTTATATCTGTGACATTTTACAATAAGGTCTCATTTGTTAACTTTAGTTAACGCATTAACTAACATGAACTAACAAATAAATGTTTGCAGCATTTATTAACCTTTGTTAATGTTAGTTGATAAAAATGATCATGCTCATGCTAGTTCACAGTGCATTAACTATTGTCAACACAACCTTTGATATTAAAAATGTATTAGTATATGTTAAGATTAGCATTAACTAAGAATAATAAATGCTGTAAAAGTGTTCATTGTTAGTTCATGTTAACTAATGTAAAAACCTTATTGTAAAGTGTTACCGCTATATCAATATGAATATGAGTGCAGAAAGGAGACTAATAACTGGCTTTGTTTCATTTTAGAACAGCATCTCCAGTCTCCATCACAGGAAGAGGAAGAGAAACCTATTTATTGTCAGCTGAACCCTTAAGAAATCAGTCTAAAAAAGAGAACAGCTATTCACTCCTACAGACGGGGTGAAACCTCAGCAGAAAAAGACAGAAGGAGAAGAGGGAGGAAGTGACAGCACATGTCTCACAAGTTCTTGAGAGACAGAGAGATAGAGAGTGCAATAGACCAAGGGCGTAGCCTGTACCATCGATTAACATTTTTTGGAACCACAACTATACGAGGTAAGAAACAGAGGAAAAAATGAAACTGAACAGAAAGGAAGGGTGGGATGTTTAGTCTGACGGGTGTTGAGAGGTTTAGAAATGAAGAGAGGGGTGGGCGCGCATGGGCCTTCAGGCCTCGATGGGTTCCGTAGACATGCTATAACTTTGTTTTGGCATGAGGATTTCTTAAGTTTGTTTGTTTTTGTTTTTTTAAGTATCTAAGTGTCAAGTGGTGCACCCTGATACATTATCCAAAGGTAGTTAACCAAGGTTTGATTTTTTTTGTAGATCCTAGCAAATATATAGCAATAGGAATGGCAAAGTTCAGTGATCACATTCAATCCACAAAGCATGTTTATTTAAATTTCTCTTTTTCACTAATTAATGTTTTTGAAAACTGTATATGATGTAAAGACAACTTTTTGCACACTTAACACAAAACTATTACGCAAATTTTAGAGAACAAGAGTGCTAAGGTTAAAAAAAGTCTTTATGCAAAGTACTTTCACACAAGTCAAATCTGAAATTTGATTTTATATATATATATATATATATATATATATATATATAATATATATATATAATATATAAACTATTATATGTATAAACTATATGTGTGTGTGTGTGTGTGCATATATATATATATATATATATATATATATATATATATATATATACTTTTTTTTTTTTTTTTTTTACTTTTAAACTTACATTTAAAATATTTTTCCATAAATTCTTGGACAAAAAAATAAATTGTGAACTTGTTATTTGTCAACCACCCAATTGTATGTAATTGTGCTGATTAAAGCCATCCTAAACTGAAAGCTATACCAAAACTATAGAAAAGGGAAATAGCTGAGATTGTGGAAGCATAATATCTAATGGCATTTCTTTTCAAATCAGAATGGCATCGTGGGACCTGTCCGTCAGTGTGGAGGAACTGGGATCGGAGGCACCACCTCTTAAAATCAGTGTCACCTCGGAACTACATATTGGTGGAGTCATCCTCAAAGTTGTGGAAAAGTCACGTGAGTTTTTGAAGTCTGATTTATTGTAAGATGTTTATGCGATTGCTAAGGGCATTATAGGATTGTTGATTTCAGACACAAGTCTCTGACACAGAGTCTAATACCCCGTGCACAGTGTACGACTTTGGGCTGTCCCAGACGAAAGATGACCAATCGTCGCGATGTCTGTGGCCGTGGCTCCTACGACCATAGAGAGCCTGCGATCATTTTCTGAAAGTGTCAGATATTTAGAATGATCATGTCACAGTGTGTTTGCTGCTATGACCTACGTCCACTGACTAGCCAATAAATATGCAACATGAAATGGTGTATTGAACTCGACATGGTGCTAAAACTTAAAACTACTTACCTCAAGCTCCATTTCAAACTGGCTTGTCAAGTTTTCCCGCTTTTCTCTAGCCATGACCACATCCATATTCTCCTCTTTCCCTTCATTCTCTTTTTTTTTTGCGCACATAAAAACCACAATTGCGATTCATCTTGCTCTATTTGTTAACCTTTAGCGCATGCTGATGATGTTTTATTCTTCTATACTAACTAATAAACCAATAGGAGAGCCAAGTCTGATGACTCAATTAGTAAGACAACAACAAACCACCACTTTCTCTACACACATTATTATTATTTTTTCTTCGCCATGATCAAAATTAACGCTACAGATTGTTTTTGTTTGCTAACCACCATTTAAATCCTGGGTTTCACTTTATTTTGATGGTCCCTTTAACACATTCTGTTGACTATAAGTAATGTTGCACCTGCATGTCTACTAACTCATTAGAGTGTTAGTAGAGTATTCGTAGGTTAGGGTTTAGAATAAGTTGACATGTTGCAATACTTATAGTCAGTAGAATGTCTGTTGGAGGAGCATCACAATAAAGAGTTAGCAGATATTAAGCAGAGAGTTTACTAATACTCTAATGAGAGTTAGTTGACATAGGTGTAACGTTACTTATAGTCAACAGAATGTTCAAAACGGACCATCAAAATAAAGTGCTACCAAATCCTGCATGTAATGTAGCTCACAGTCATCGAACCTGTGACAGATCGATGATGTAACCAGTCCAGATGAGTCTTCTTGCATGCATCCGTTTTTAACGCTTCTTGACCGCTGTACAGTCAATCCTACAGTGTGACACGGCTTAGAGCGAGGATCATGTTCGTACAGTCTGACAAGCAGCAGTCGAAAAGGGTTAAATTATAAATTGGACAGTGTGCACCGGGCTTAAGTCAAGTCTCAAGTCTTTCCAAACAAAGTCAGTCAATTTTCACTATTCCCTGTTCAATGAAAGCATACAATGAACAGCAACTGGATTGGAAGTTGGAACACTGCACTCAAGTATCTTAAAAGTAGTACATATGAACATGAGGATGAGTAAATAATATCATTTTTTGAAAATCTCTGCCATTTCCCAACCCATTAATATTTGCACATATTCAAACATCACAAATTTGACTAAATTTTTTTTTCAGACATTCTTCATCCTCTTTTGTGTGTCGCAAAAGAAATAAAACCATATGAGTTTGAAACGAGATGAGGGTGATGACAGAATTTTCTTCTCTTCTGTAGAAATAAAGAGGGATTGGTCCGATCATGCTCTGTGGTGGGAACAGAAGCAGCAGTGGTTGCTGAAACCGTCCTGGACGCTGGATAAATGTGGGATTCACGCAGACGCCCGACTCTGCCTCACGCCCCAACACAAGCCCCTGCGGCTGCTAATGCCCAACGCCATCAGCGTCCGCCTGAGAGTCTGCTTCTCCAGCCCTGTGTTCCGCACCGTCATGGGCATTTGCAAACTCCTGAGTGAGTGATGGGTTGTGATTGGTTTCAGCTCTTCTAGCTTCTGGCTTTGAGATCATCTACCCCTCTACAACAGGGAACTTTCTCAGAACTTTGGCCAACGTTCTGGCAAGGTTCCGTCAAAGTTATGAACAAACGTTCTTAGTCACAAAACCATTAGTATATTCATGGAAGGCTTTTCTGAAACATTTTAGTTGGACGTTCGTCTAATGCTTTTTTAATCGTTTAGAATGTTCAGAGGACATTCAAAAGTAACGTTCCCGTAATGTTTGAAAAATGATCAAATGGAAAGATCCCTTGTCATTTGTATATACTTAAGAAAAAAATATTTTAAAACATTTTAAAAAAAACTGGACATTCAGGGAACCTTTAGAAATAATGTTTTCATACCTTAATGGGAACATTAGCAAAACGTTCTTGGAATATGTTTTTTGTTAGCTGGGTACATGGAGAAAGTATGGAAGCTTGTTTCTGCCAAAGAATACAAAATAAAAAAGGTAACTGAGACTTTTTATCTCACAATTTGGACTTTTCTTTCTTACAATTGCCAGTTTACATTGTACATATCAGAATTGCGTGTTATAAAGTCAGAATTGTGAGATATAAACTCGCAATTCTGAGGAAAAAAGTCAGTCTTACGAGATACAAACTCACAAATGCGTGTTATATACTTTATGACACTTTATAACACGCAATTCTGACTTTATATCTCGTAATTCTGAGAAATAAAGAGATGTAAACTCGCAATTGTGAGAGAAAAAGTCACTATTATCTTTTAAAATGTGTTATTCTGTGGCGGAAACAAGCTTCCATAAGAAAGTGTGTTGATCAGATGACACACACACACACACAAAAATATGCATTCATCTATGTTATTTATGACCAGTCGTTTCAGGATTGATCAGAGAAGGCCTTTCAAACAAACAGTTTGATGTTTAAAGCTTGACTTTCTGATTACGAAGTGCTGCAAAAGCTCTGTCAGCTTTATCCTTATGCAGAGATCTCATAAGGTTTTGTTCAATTGAAATCTGGGCAAGTGTGGACAGTATTTCTTGCTTCATGATGGACTAAAGTTATGATTTATCAGCTGCAGGTGTGAGATATAAACATAGAAAAACAATTGCTCAGTGTCTACAATAGACGAAACCTTTACATCAGTTCCAAACCAAATGTGGTTTAATTTTATTTAAACTATTTAAAGAATAGTTTTAAGGACGCTTCGACATTTCTGATTGAAAACTACTGCACGACACCTGTACATTACATTTGTTTTCTCTCTTTTAGACATTCGCCACCCAGAGGAACTATCCCTACTTTGGCCAGTAGAAGGGAAAAAGAAAAAGAAAGATAAAGATGTTGAGGCAGAGGTGTATGACATCACATGCTCACCACTTCCTTCAAGTGAGCAATACATATACAGAAAATATTAATTCCAAACCAATTCACATAACGTAAGACCCAATGTGCTAGGACTTATTTAGCATACTTAACTGTCGCTAGAATCAGAAATGGACCTTTATTTCCATTTATGGTTACACAAACACACACACACAAGGATTCTGTCTTGGTGGCAGGAGCTTGCAGTGAAAAAAGACACAGATAATAAAAATAATTAACTTTTATGTGTATATCACAGCAGTGGCGTAGGTTTGATTTTGAAATTGGTGGGGACGGGGACATCAATATTTAATATATTTAAAGTTTTGATCGAAAATATTGCTAGGGATATATCAGTGTCACTGGATATTGGTAGGGACACGTCCCTAGCGTCCCTACTAAATTCTACGCCCCTGTATCACAGTACAAACACCTTTCATCATTATAATGCCTGCACAACCTATTTATTAACTCAAGTAAAGTTAATGTAAATCTGCTCTTAAATTTGTATGTTTAGTTATTATTATTATTTTTTAAATATATTTGCTAATTTGTGCAATTGCAGGCACCATCCTGAAGCTTGCCAATGGCATGCCTGCTTTCTATGCTGAATCTCCTGAAACTGAGGCTGTGTACAAGATGCTGGCGGTCAGTCAGCCTCCCCCGGCCCCAGAGACCATTGCGAAAATGTACCGGACAACTAATGTAATGGAGAAAGCACAAGTTAACAGCAGGTAGTGTAATACGCTAAACGCAACATGATGTGTACAGGGCCACTAAATTCAATAAAACACTGAATATTGCGTGTGTGAAAATGTTCTATACGGTGCATTCAGAAAGTATTCAGAACCCGTTCATTTTTCACATTTTGCTTTGTGCAGCGTTATGCCAAAACACCATATACCACAAAACAAAAACAGATTGTGATAACTTTGCAAATTTATTTAAAAGATAAAAAAATGTTTAGTGCCTTTGGCAGTGATTACAGTCTCAAGTCTATTGTATACTCCTAAAAATAAAGGTTCTAAAAAGGTTTTTTTCGCAGTGATGCCATAAAAGAATAATTTTTGGCTCCCCAAAGAACCTTAACCTTTATAGAATAATCTATAAAATCGTTTTCGACTATGAAGAACGTTTAGTGGTTTCACAGAGCTACAGGTACTTCACTACAGGTACTAACGTTACACTTTTAAGAGTGTGTGATGAAGCTTTGCATACCTGGCTTTGGGGATTTTCTGCCATTCTTCTCCACAGATCCCCTTGAGTTCTGTCAGGTTGGATGTGGACCCACATTTCCAGGTCTCTCCAGAGATGTTTGATTGGGTTCAAGTCCAGGCTTTGTTTGGACCAATACATGACATTCACAGACTGGCCCCTTCTTGCATTGTCTTGGCTGTGTGCTTAGGGTCGTTTGAAGTTGAACCCAGTATGAGGTCCTGAGTGCTCTAGACCAGGCTTTCAATAAGGATATCTTTGTGTTTTGCTGCATTCAGATTTCCTTCTACCCTGACCAGTTCCTTATGGTGTGTTCACACCGAACGCGAATTTAATTATTTGCGCGAGTAGATTACATACAAAGTCAATGCAAAGACGCGAATAGACGCATCATTCGCGCCGGGCGTTGCGCATGACGCGAATTGGCCGACGCGTTTGCCGCGAATGTCTTCCGCGCAAGTTGAAAAATTTGAACTCGAGCGAATCTTCAAGCGTCTAACTAGACGCGAAAGACGCGTATTTGACGCTCTATTCGCGTTCTCATCCCAAAGCGTAATATATTGACTCTTTTGACAAAGCGTCTATATCCAACGCACATGGCACCCTTTAGCGTCATATGAGACGCAAATATATGGCGCCTCCTAGTGGTCTAACCCTAACACTACCCCAGACCTAAACCTACCCAAAACCGAAGCGTGTTATATTGACGCTAAAGGGTGCCATGTGCGTTGGATATAGACGCTTTGTCAAAAGAGTCAATATATTACGCTTTGGGATGAGAATGCGTTGCGTGAACACACCATTAGTCTAGTAAAACATTTCGTCATTAGGCTACAACATGACAAATAGTGAAAAAATTAAGCGGTCTGAATACTTTCTGAATCCACTGTGCATTCTCTAAACTTGAAGTGCTCACCATTTTACTATAAGCAATAATGGTCCAATAGTAATGTAATATTTTTTTGGACATTTACCATGACAGTACTTTTTTAGGTATTATTGGTAACATGTAAAAACCATGGTACATGAATATGGTATTCATTCAGTCTATTCATCAATGTGATATCTGATACCATCACACAGTGCACATATAGGAGTTTATCAGTAGATACATGACAGTTGCATACAATGCGCATTGTAAAAAAAAAAATCCTGTAATGATAATATCTCTGCTCAGGTGGTTGGATTCGTCCCGTTCTCTCCTACAACAGGGAGTCAAAGAAAATGATAAACTCCAACTGCGTTTCAAATACTACAGCTTTCACGACATCACACCACAGGTAGGCATGAGGCCATCAGTCTGTTCTTCATGTGTTTCTCGATCAGAAAACAGATTTGTGTTTTTAGCATTAATGGTATTTCTTGACAAACTGTATTTGTATTTATTGTTTAGTCTAATAGTTGTTTGGCCAAATAAGCATCAAATATATGCAAAATCAGCAAATAACAGCTTTAACCAGTAAATATCATTACAACACATCACATTATCTAGGTTAAATATTTGTGTCCGATAATCTGTAAAACAGCGATAACTCAGATTTGTCACCATCAACAGAATTTAACGAAAATAAACTTAATAAAACACCTTATTTTATTAGAAACTTAATTCTGTTTCTACTTAAATAGGTCAGACTTTGATGATGTCACTACCTCAAATATGAAGGTTTTTTTTAAATAGTATTTTTCATAAAATGCATAATCTACAGACAGTAAAAACAGCAATACTTATTTTTTAACAAAAACATTTTATAAACAGTAAAATCTAAATAATGTTTCTTTTGTCCTCTTCTCCCCCATACAAATGATGGGAAAATGTGTACCGAATATGTACCTGTCAGACTGATGTGGTGCGCCTGACCCAGCTGTATGAGCAGGCGAGGTGGGCCCTCTTGCTGGAAGAGATCGAATGCACTGAAGAAGAGATGATGGTCTTTGCTGCCTTACAGGTATAGGTGATGGAGAGCAGATATCATGAACAATGATCTATCTAAACACAACTGAAGCTTAAGTGAAAGTTATTCAGAAAGTTTTTGTGATCTTTGTGTGTGTGTGTGTGTGATCACATCAGTACCACATTGGGAAAGTGTCTCTAACAGAGCAGTTTGTGGCATCCAGTCCGGCTATGGATGATCTAGATTCAGCTCTACAGTGCCTGGAGGTGAAAATGGAAGGAGAGAGCAGTGCAGATGACATGCTGGTAAGTTTCATGACACATACACATGCCTTTAACAAAAGAGAACAGGCACATATTTCAATTCTCACAAAAAAAATAAATGCAAGGACAAGACTACACCAAACCAATTGCATATGACAAAACTGACAGACAGGCCTACAGGATCAGGCAACAAAACAAGCATAGAGCGAGCATAGATGTAGGAGAAGGAGAGAAGCAAAAACAGGTCAGAAACCAGTGGCTGATGAGAATCAGCTGTGTTCTGCCACCACGTGGACAAAGGAAACAAAAACAATGCAAAGAAAAGGCAGAGAAGACAGTAACCCAACCCAAGTCTTGACAAATATTGACTTTTAGATGACCTTTAAGCATGATTTCAGCAATACAATCATTATGAAAACAAAACCATCTATGAAACAACAAAAATGAAAACAAAAGAGCAATTGTTTTGTCAGGAAATGAATGAACGCTATTAAATAACATAAAACAGATGTGAAAACTTGCCCAAAACTGATATTTATGAATACTCTTGTCACAGTTCACAGTGGTTTTATTTATTTTTTTGTTTACTCAAGACATATTATCATAAAATATGATATTGGAGTTGTAATTTGATGTTTCAAACCATCCCAAAATCATAATTTTGGTGATAGTCACAAAGTCACTTACATCATGTATGGGTCATCTGAAATCTCTAACATCTCAAATGTCCATGCAGGAAACAATGACAGCGCCAGAACTACATGACTACTTGAAAATATTCAGGTAAGAAAAGACACAAATCCCAGCGTGTATTGTGAAAAGTGCTATAAACACAACCCTCATGTTTTACGACTAATATCCCTGTGGTTTTACATTCTCTCAGACCGAAGAGGCTGACACTGAAAGGATATAAACAATACTGGTTTACATTTAAGGATACGACCATCTCCTACTACAAGAGTAAAGAGGAAAGCTGTAAAGAACCAATTCAACAGATGAACCTTAAAGGTGATCACACACTCATTTATTAAAACATGTATGTACTTGTCACACAGACGCACAACAAGTCTCTCATCAACACAGGTTGCGAGGTGGCCCCTGATGTAAGTGTTGCTGGGCAGAAGTTTTGTATCAGGTTGCTGATACCCGGGCCAGAGGGGATGAATGAGGTCTACTTGCGCTGTGAGCATGTAAGTCAATGATTACCTGTGTACAACAGCTCAGCTATGACATCAGGATGTATACTCATATGTGTTGGTCAGCCAATTTAGTTTTTTTTTTCAATGGCTAGAGCAGCCAGGGAGTGGCCAATTCAGTCCTGTTTGTTAATGCAAACGTCTAATGAGCCAACCACATGGCAGCGACTCATCACATAAAGTGTCATGCAAAGGTTCTATATAGAAACCTAAAGGGTTCTGTCAATCGCTTCATATACAGAATCGTTTAGGGGTTTCCATCATGGGATGGTTTTATGGATTTAGTTTTATTTCATTAATTTTTTTGATGAATTAAGGAGCTTGTAAACATACTAGAAGAAATTGAAATCGTTAAACATGAAACATTCTCATAAAGTGTTCTTTAAAATTAAGTCAACTGAAACCTTTTCTAAAAGTGTATGTACTGAAGAGTACATTTTTTTTGAGAAAACTGCCATTATATGTATTATAACTGAAAACATCATAGACATAGTGTAATAAAACAAACACTGAAATGTGAATTTTTGAGGTTTTCTTACCACTATTCTGAAAGATGAAAAAGTCATAAAGAATAAGTTATGGAAGCAAAATAGCCCAAAATCTCAAAATTGACTAGCAGTGTTGGGGTTAGTGCATTACAATTAATGCGAGTTACGTAATCAGATTACTTTTTTTTTTTTAAGTAACCAGTAAAGTAATGCATTACTTTTAAATTTGCAAGAAAATATCAGAGTAACTTTTTCAAATAAATAACGCAAGTTACTTCGTTTTCCCATTTATTGATTTACACATCTCCTGTTCCCATGTTGAGGTCTTGTGTGCGCTGTGTGAACATGATGGTTATAGTTCTAGACTAAATGTGAGCATGCATTTACTCATCTCACTTGCACAAAAACAGATTCAGTATTCCTCAAAATAAAATAAAAAATGAAACTTGTTAAATTACACAAATTTACTTTATGTATTTAATCGTACTTTATTAAATAATGTCTTTGCTGCTGACCTTTGATTATCCAATTTAACCATACTAATAAGCAAAAATTACTTTAGTTAAACATCACATTTGTATTGTTTTCGCTCTATTCTTTTGCAATCCAGAATGGCAGCACGGCTGAAAGGTTTGTTTGAGCTTCTCCCTCTTCTGTACAGGTGTGAAAGCGCTGTGTTCTGCTGCCAGGCCATTAGACGGCGATGAAACACTATAGACTGAACACGTAATAGGCATGTGCATGACGTCATCGTCTTCAGAGATTTGCGTTTTTGTTGTTTACACGGAGACCGCTTTCAAAAACGTGCACTTTGAAACCCGTTTACAAAATTTAGCGTTTTCAGGCACCCCAAACGGTGTTGTCGTGTAAATAAACGGCCAAAACGCATAAAAAGTTTTACGTTTTTAGTTGAAAATGGTGTCTTGTGAACAGCCCCGTTCCTCACCTTCACTCAGTGTTCGTCTGGTCTCGTTTTGTGCTAGCGTTCGTCTGCATCTCCTGTTGGATGTTTATTAAAATCTGCATTTGAACCTGATCATCGTCTGTCTGTCTGCACATTGCTAGTAGCAATATTGTAATGCATTGCTTTTAAAAGTAACTTTCCCCGACACTGTTGACCAGTGCCCGAAAAAACAACAGTTTTTGCCTGTAGTGTCTGCCCTTAAATCTAAATCTTCCATTTAAATCTAATTGTAAAATATAAATTCTATGTAAATCCCAAATTAAAATATTCAAGATGTAAATTTATTAAAGCAGCACTAAGTAGGAATTCCGTTTTTGTCAAACAGCGACCCCTAGAGTTGCTGTGGAGTACTTGTACTGTCGTGAATAGCACTCACGCAGAGATGGCTCGCACTCACGGCCGGATCCCCTCCCCCTGTACACCGGTACCTGTTCAGTAGGATGGACGCTGTAACGAGTGGAAATAAGGTGTGGCCCCTTTAAGAGCTGCGCACGCCCTGTTTAACTGTCGGCAGTCTGTATTGTATGTGCGCCTCGAACACCACATGTATACGGCGCCGGGTTATTTCAGTTTGATGCTCATTTTATCAGAATTTTATCAGATCTGTTTTTTTGCCGTAAAGCAATTCGTTACCTCGCGAGACCTGATATCACACGATACTCGCCGGCCCAAAGTTGCAAGGGTGGTTTTGCGGCTCACAGGCACCAGGGGGGTGCGAGACGACCACCATTCAACACGAAATCAGTAATATAAACATTACAATGACTCCAAAGCTGTTCGGTTAAGGTAAAAAAGTTACTTTAAATGTATAATATTTTAAATGTAAATTGTAAATTGCTTAGTTTCCAGTGAAATATGTTTCCAAAGCTGGGTTTTGTGTACCATTAATCAATTGTGTACAATTAAACAAACATTAATATTGCTGGTTTTCACATACAGCATTCTAGAGTTTACAAAGAATCGTGTATAAAAAAACTCAAATAAAAAAAGTCCTGTGAGCCGCAGTTCTGTGGGTTTACATACAGTAGAAAATGTCCAGGGGTGTGTTTCCTAAAAGCATTGGGAGCCTAATTAGATTGTAGAGCTTACAAATATTGAATCCTTCTGACATGCCAGGAATATTGGATCCAGTCTCTACCAAATCCCATCAGAAGATATCCTTTATGTTTGGTTTTAAAAAAAGCAATAAAACTCTGACTCTGTCTTGTTCGCAGGAGCAACAGTACAGCCGATGGATGGCAGCATGTCGTTTGGCCTCGAAAGGCAAGACTTTGGCTGACAGCTCCTTCTCTAGTGAAGTGCAGAGCATCCAGTCATTCTTGGCCATGCAGAAAACCACACCTAGTAATAACACAGCTCAGACAGATGAGAGTATTAATACGCACAGCCTCGTCTCTCCACGCTACCAGAAGAAGTACAAACCCAAACAGGTACCACGTTTATGGGTCATTGGAATACACTTGAACTGGTTAATTACTGCATTATAAGTCTTTATGTGACACTTCATCCCTGCTTTTTTGTTCCTCTTGAACTTTATCTCTCTCCCTTTCTCTCTTGTTCAGCTCACGCCGAGAATCCTGGAGGCCTATCAGAATGTAGCTCAGATCTCATTAACAGATGCCATTCAGAAGTTCCTTCAGATCTGGCAGGCTCTGCCTGACTTTGGCCTTTCTTATATTGTAGTCAGGTGAGTTTAGTAAAACTTGTTTGTTGCCAGAGCCTGTCATCCACCATCTTTTTAAGTCTGTGAATCATGGTAGTCTAATGGTGTAATTTTATAGTATGCATGAGGGCCAGGTTCAGATCCTAACACAAATAATATGGCATTTATATTCCCGCTGATTAATGGCTTCAACAGAAATATGTACCATCCACTTCTAACCTTAAAGTAGGTCTATCTTGAAACATTTAAAGGGTTAGTTCACCCAAAAATGAAGATTCTGTCATAAATTCTTCGCCTTCATGTCGTTCCAAACCCGTAAGACTTTCGTTCATCTTCGGAACACAAATGAAGATCTTTTAAATGAAATCTGAGAGATTTCTGTCCCTCAATTGACCACTTTTAAGCCAATGCACATTCACGCAACAACTTCTGCTCTCGCTTCAACACAACACACACGTGGAGATTAATATTTTGTTAATAAAGTGGTAAATTGTGTTTTTTTTTGCGCAAACAAAGCAGTCACATGGATTACTTTAATGTCTTTACTACCTTTCTGGGGCTTGAAAGTGGTAGTTGCGTAGCTGTCAATGGAGGGACAGAAATCTCTCAGATTTCATTTGAAAGATCTTCATTTGTGTTCCAAAGATGAACGAAAGTCGTAATGGTTTGGAACGACATGAGGGAGAGCAATTAATGACAGAATTTTCATTTTTGGGTGAACTAACCCTTTAAAATTTAATTTCTCATTTTGAGAAAATGAAAGAAACCTAAACCCAACTGTGCTCCATTCTGTTTGATGTAACACTTTACCTTTAACTATTTAGAAAACAATATGTTGATATCATTTGAATTATTGCATTACAATAGATTACATACTACTAACAGTAAATGTTATTAATTATATAATAACAATATTGCTGACTAAAAGAATCTAAGCAAAATAATCAATTACAATCAGATTGTAAGTGACATCAGAAACAGCATATACAATTTCTGTCCACATAAATGCAGGTTTAAGGGTTGCCGCAAGGATGAGGTGCTCGGCATTGCCAATAATCGTTTAATCCGTATTGACCTGAGTGTTGGAGATGTTGTGAAAACCTGGAGATACAACACCATGAGGCAATGGAATGTCAACTGGGACATTAAACAGGTAATCTGTCTTTATGTATATTATGAGATTTTTGTAGTGCAAGCTCTCGGATTGATATCGAATATCACTGTCAAATAATAAATCCCTTCCCTATCTGTACCAGGTTGCCATTGAGTTTGATGGCAATGTGAACATCGCATTTAGCTGTGTAACTGCAGACTGTAAGATTGTCCATGAGTACATCGGCGGCTACATCTTCATGTCTACACGAGGACGAGAGCAGAGTGACACCCTGAACGAGGAGCTGTTTCACAAACTGACAGGCGGCCATGAAGCTCTATGAGGGAAAAAAAATGTCTGTACTGTAAATCTGTAAATGTATGGACTGCCAAAATATGAAGACAAAAAAACAAAAACATCTGAGAAATGTTTATTAATAACCCCAAACGCATAAATACACACACAGATATGGCCATTCATGAGTATTTACCACAGGTTTGTGAGACCTAGCAATGTGGGATTTCTCTTTTTTTGTCTTATTTGGCTTTGATCATTCTTATGGTATGTTTTTGTCAATGACAACACCGTATCTTGTAGTTATTACATTTCAATGTCAAACCTTGTCAGGTATTTACTTAAATTGTTGAAAGTTTAGTTTCTAATGCATCTGATTCTTATTGTTGTCTTTTTATTATATTTTAATTGTGTGAGAGAGAGAGAGAGAGAGAGAGAGAGTGTATGTATGTGTATATCTCTCATTCCCCGTTTACACAAAGGGAAGACGCAGATATTTCCCTGCGGTTGAGCCTCTCATTTACATGAAAACCCCGTTTTTATCACAGAAAATGATTATTTCTAAAAACTCCGGCCAAAGTGGAGATTTCTGATAACGCCGGTTATGTGTTGCCGTGTCAACTGGGAGAAACGGGGTTTTAGGTTCTCAAACGTCACCTTATGCACCAGAAAATCTGCAATTGCAGTTATTCGCGGTTTATCAGCTTTACGTGAGTTGTGCCTCGGCACGGCACAGCGCGGATGAATCCAATGTTTTGAGGAGAGAGTGCGGCTGTCAGTCGGTGTGGATACTGGCATTCAGAATCACAGATTATTCTTTTTGGAAGAATGACCAACATAATAATTTTCACCAGAAAATGTCATCTGAACAAGTAAGTAACATCCACTTTTGTTCTGACCAACGAAGGGAAAAAATCATTGCAGTAAATCACGCTGATTAAATCTAACGTTCGCTTAACAATCATATCACGTAAAACCGTGCAAATTATACTTTCTTCTCAAATTGTTAATGTTCAACATCAGCATTGCGTGACTACATTTAATGCCCTTCCGATATTTATCCTTGTTTTCGCATGGGCCCGGTTGCAGTCGGTCATTGTCGTTTGAACCTTTCTGGATCCGCCATCAAATTAATAAGTTTAATTATATCAAGTGCTGTGAGAAAAGGCTATGAATCTCCACCTCCAACATCCTCACTCAATATAGCCTACTAGCCGAGACTCCTTCTTTATGTGTACAGATGTGACGTAATGACGCAAAGTCATGCTCGAATTTCCCGTGGAAATCCACCAGTACCACTGGAGTTAAAAACATTATTACAAGCTTACCGCTTTGAATCGAGCTAGCAGATAATTTTGAACACTGGCTGGTTATGTATTTGCTCAATTTTATTTTGGATAATTTTTAACCCAAAAAAGTTACGGACTGCAGCTTTAAGTATCAATGAAATACCATGGTGTACAGCGTTGCCAGGCTAGGATACAATGATCAACTTTGCAGCTCAAGCGTTAAAAAGGATATATTGTGGTGACATCATTTTGGTGGAGGAAACCACAATGCTAGTTTCACAAGCATTGCATACAGAAGACGATGAAAAAGAGCATCCTGTGCACTAAAATGAATTTTGAATCAAGTATGCTTAAAGGATGGAGACTTGAATTGCAATTATATATGGATATTATTCTAAAATGGTGAATATATTATGGTAATATTATATTGTGTTTAAATAAAATATACAAATATAAAAGATTTATTAATTTTCTATGTTTAATATATTTTATAATATACACCACTTTACCGATATTAATTTGTTACGTTTTTCTTTAGAATTATGGGCAAAGAATTGCCTTGTAATGCATTAGGAATTTAGCATTTAAACACGATTGAATTAATTAAATAAAATGTAATCACATCCACAGATTTCATAGTAGGCCTGTTTTCAAAGAGGCCTTAGAGAGAACTGGAGATGTAATGGACTCCACACACACCTACATCCCAGTAGTGATGGGAGAAACCAAGGCTGCGACTGAAATCGCATACTGTCTTGAGTAGGTTTTTATTTTGAATGAGTACGTACTTTGCGAGTGTTCAAAAAGTATGTTCTATATACGAATGTCTTTAGTATGAATGTAATCTGGATGTACTACAATCTGGATGTTCTCTTTTATGAGTACTGTGAATTCGGACGTACGGATGACGTGGAGCTGGAGAGGGGTGTAAACTGATTCAGTTGATTCCCAATTCTGCAGCTCGTATCATAACCCGGACTCCATCTATTCAACATATTACCCCATCACTTCAACAGCTCCATTGGCTTCCTATTAAATTCGGGATTGAATTTAAAATTCTCCTCCTACAAATCAATTCACAACCTCACCTTTCAGATCTCTTACAGCCCTACACCCCTCCTCGAAGTCTCCGTTCCTCTTCATTGGGTCTCCTCCATACACCTTCTGCTCGCCTAACCACCATGGGCCATAGGGCCTTTAGCCGTGCTTCTCCTCGCCTTTGGAATTCTCTCACAGTCAACATCCGTAATTCAGGATCGATAACCCCACTTAAAGTCAAACTTAAAACTCATATGTTCAGAATTGCTTATCCTCCATGATTACTTTGTGCACTCAAATCTATAGCCTACTTTTTTATTCTATTTATTTTATTTTTTAAGTTAGGGTTAGTTAGGGTTAATTGTTGCTCTCCCCTTATTTATCGTTCATTTTATGAAATGAACGCCATTGTTATTTACTGTTATCTCTTATTTTAATATTGTTGTTGTTGCTGCTACATGATGTATGGTGACCTTGAGTGATTTGAAAGGCTCCTTAGCTAAATGCATTATTATTATTATTATTAAACAAACAACGTGGAGGGTGGGGGGAGCCAGATGTTGGTCCAGAGACCAGCCAGGGTGAAGTCGAGGGAGGGAGGAGCCATTGGGAAAACTTGGCAGACAACACCCTAGGGATGACCGGTGGAGATGGAGCTGCTGGAGATGATGAGCCAAAGCACCAACGCAACTTCGATGGCGCTGGAGACCGAGATGGAGCTGTGGCGACAAGCATCCGAGGTGGAACGAGGGAGCCTGACAACTGCGGCTTAGCCGGTGGGACTGAGGACCAAGGTGGAGCCGGGAGAAAGACGGAGCTGAAGGTGCCGGCATGGCGGGCTCACGCATCTGGTCAGACTCTCCGTGTGAGTCAGGCTCCAGGGCGAAGTCATTCTCCGTCCTCATTGCAAGCTCAGGCTTGTCCATTGCGGTAGGCCGTTTTCCACAGTCTGTGGCGTGCTCTCGCAACTCCACCGTGCAGCTTGCGCAGCTGTGGAGTGGGTGCGGGTATCCTGAGGATCATCCTTCACCGTTTATGACATCACCAGCCCCACTCCAAACCCAGTGCCCAGCCAGAACCCATCTGTCGGGATAATGAGCCCACGGCAGACATCAAGCCCTTCTCCACCGCAAGCCAAATGCTGGCTATGCTATCCACCTCCAAGGGAGCTGTCGTGGAATCAGAGGGTATCAGTTGCACACTCGTTATAATGGTGCATTGTGGCATTGAATGAGTGCACTCAGTAACGTCCACTATGGTTTCAGACACCACTACAAATGGCTGACCCCTCAAATAGTGCCCATAGCTATTTAAGGGAAAAGGGGGCGATTTCGGACACAGCCTGGGTCAAATGACAGACACAGGGAAAACAGAACCTAAACAATCAAAATAGAGCATAAGTTATAATAGTTAGTGTTCTTTTTTGTTTTATTTTTGTTATTATTATTATTATTAGGGGCCAAGCACAGAATGTGCAAAGACCCATATTGTTTCCGTTAGTTGTCGTCTTCTTCTTCCACTCTGGAGTCTACGGCAGCCCATAGAATACCTTGTGGAAAAATAATGAAATTTGGCACACAGATAGGAGATTGTCTCAACATCTACAGCAAATTCCCAAAAGAAATTCAAAAAGAGTCTCTAACTTAAACCCCCAGTGCCACCAACTCAAATTTGCGCCAATGTTTATGCTAATAAGTAATAATTTTTTAACCATAAGGGCTGAAAAACATTTTCTTTTCTGATTCCTCGGCTCATGTCTTTCTGAAAACCCTACTTTTTCACACTTGCACTAAACATTTAGTCCGATTTTCACCAAAATTGGCTGTGATCATCTTCAGACCATGCTGGCAAGAAGTTGTTCAATTGACCAAACCATGCTCGTATAGCACATCAAGCTGTGGCATATTGTGACGAAATTTGGTAGCCTACCTGTCCAACAATCTTCTTCTTCTTCTTCTTTAAGAGTTTTATGGCGGTTGGCAAACCAGCTAAAAAGGTGCATTTCTGTCCAACAATCACAATCATGACTTGAGGGTACTTGCAGTTTCTAGACACAGTGCCACCAACTGGTCAGGAGATGTGACAAATTAAAATTTTGGCTACACAACCTATGTTTTTAAATCGTCCATTATAAAGGGCTTTGTTAAACTTGTTGTTCAGGTTGCACAATTATTGACATGCCTTGTCAAATAAAATGCTTATTATTTTTCAACATATGCTTCGGCTGTCATTTACTGAGGAATATTATTAAAACGATCATCACACTTTAGATTATGGTCAGGGGCGGAGTGGGACCAAAAAATCTACCGGGAAATTTCGTAGACCACCGGCCCTCGTCGCCGGCAGGGCCAGATTAAGAGGCCCCTGGGCACAATGTCTTGTAGGTCCCCTCTTAGGCAGGCCAAATGTATATTTTGTCCAGGGACATTTTAATATGGCATTTACAGTTTTACTGATTTAAAAGTAACTTTGTTGTACTATGCTGGAGTAAAGTTCATAAATGGACGTTCTTTCCCATAGGAATTTGTAAAACTATGTTGGGTGGACCTCTGTGCCTCTAGGGGGGTTCGGGGGCATGCTCCCCCGCAAGAAAATGTTTTACATTTTAAGGTTAAATGCATCAATCTTGTGCTCTTTGAAGAGATCAAAATTAAGAGCTTCAACCCATGAACTGCTCGTTGAACAAAGAAAAAGCATTGATTTGTACCAGGACAATAAAGAGGGCATCTTTTTAGTTATGAGAGTCTCCGTCTGCATTACATTATCAATGATGTTTTAGGATGCCAAACAATTATTATAATAATGTAATAATGATTTATATAATTATTCCTATGACGTTAAATCCATTTAGCCTATAAATGTACTATATAAATGAAAATTAATATTTCAAAAGTATATTTTAGCCTACATTACACTATAATATAGGACAATTAAAATATTTTTGTCCTAATTTCTTCACTTGCAAGAAATAAACCCTTGAGCTTTTATTTAGGAGAAAACACCAGATAACCATCCTGATCGCGTGAGCAAAGTAATCACGCAGCGCAGACAGGATGCCTATTCTTAAAGTCTTGTGCTGTTTTATAAAGACACAAAGCCATATCATGGTTTTAATTTTAGTTCGTTGGCAAAATATAACGCTAGAGACCTTAATGTTAGGTTATACATTTTACATCTTTACATATGTGTTGGGAAAAGGGAGAAGAGAGAGTTCGGCAAAAGGCGGATTCGAACTCGGGTCGAGCGCATCAAAAGCTGCTTTCAAGCACTTAACGACCTACGCCACTGTAGCTATTTCGTAACGGGCGTCTTTTTGCTGAAAAGACAGGCACTTAGTGCAAATATACGCTCCGTTATAGAAAATGTTAAAAAAATATATGTTTTCTTCCCCTCGCTTGGGCCCCAAGTGCACATGGCAAACTTGCAATGAATACATTTTATCAGACCGGCCCTCGCAGCCTCGAAACACTACCGGCCCACCGGGAAAACTCCCGACTCTCCCGATTGCCACTCCGCTACTGATTATGGTCCAATTCTCACTATTAACTAACTAAACTACTTTAGCCTCATTAAACTCCTAATCACTGGTTTTTAATAGGCTAGTTAGTAAAGTAGTTGTTCGTTTGGGTATTGGGCAAGATTAAGGAATATGGTCATACAGAATAGGGCATTTGTGATTTATAAGTAATAATAAACAGCCAATATCCTAATATGCATGCTAATAAATAACTAGTTAATAGCGAGAATTCAACCGTAAAATAAAGTGTTACCATTAAAACTAAATTAATGAGTAGAAACAGTTAACTACATGTTAAATAGCACTACTGTTTGTTTATATGTATCATGCAGGGCTCCTAGCAACAGTACAATCCATTACGTGATGCTACTTTTCTCCGCGCTGGCTATAATGGACCAATCACAGGTGTTTGTGATCACTTCATTGAAAATCCTTTGGTAAAGATTGTAGGATCCATTTATTTTTTTTAATTTATTGTCATTTTAAAATCATTTTAGAAAATACGTTTAAACTACGATACATTTCAGCATACAGATGTTTAGACTAAAAATGTCCTTAGATATAAATAGACTGTAAAATATGAACGCAGCTCAGTAGGACAAGCCCGTAAAGCGCCCCCTGGAGTATCAATCCTGCGTTCTCCTTTTACCCACAATTCTGTGCGCCGGAGGTGTTCCGTGATTAAATAAGATGGCGGACTCCTCGGTAAGCATCTCCCAGTCAGTGTGGTTTTATGCATTTAGTGATGTTTTAAAACATTTCTCTGTTCCAATTGACCGCTGTCGTTTATAATGGCATTATGTCCCAATAGGTGGAAATCATTGAAGGGTGCCGTCTTCCCGTGCTGCGAAAAAATCAAGAAAATGAAGACGAGTGGCGTAAGTAAGAATGTAAACAAAAGACTCGCAGTCCATATTAAACTGTTCTGTCGGTTTATTTAATTAGGTTTATTCTTCTTACCGAACGTTAATCATTTGTTATAAAACGCGATGTGGTGATGGTATGCTTTACTGTATGTGATATGCAACTGAATGCTGTGTGATTTAAGTTAACTTACATATTCCAAGATTCACATGTAGAATACCATTGTTGTGCTATACTACGTTTTGTTAGAGAGAGGGCAAACGTGTTTTTTTGTTTGTTTTTTTGGTCTGCTGGTGATGTGAACACATGACATTGTTTAATTCCTTATTATTAAGTTAAAATCTTAATCCAGCAAAAAAAAAAAAAAGCCTGTGGTTGTAACTTAAGCTGGTTTCACATGAGTTCAAGCTGCTCCAGGCTGGTCTGGATGTGTGTGTTGCTGGACTATCAGCTGGTGGGGCCACATAGTTGACATCTAGCTGAAAAGCACATTTCTAACGGGATTCATCTGAAATACAATTTTCCTTGTTTGATATGAATGGATCCGATTTAAGCTTTCAGCTGTGTGAATGCTTCTTTATCCTTTTATTCCTTTAAAGCGCTGGCTGAAATTCTCAGTGTCAAAGACATTCCTGGGAGAAAGCTCTACTATGTCCACTATATTGACTGTGAGTATCAAACATTTACCTGAAAATTAGATAAATCAGTTGTACCTGCCTTACGAATACAGTTATATTTTCATATTACGATTCTTTTTGATGCAAGATTTGTTCAGCCTTTTTGCTAACTGCAAAGAAAATATACATTTTTTTGGGGGCAAGTCAACAAGCGACTGGATGAATGGGTGACTCCAGACCGGTTGGACTTGAAGAAGCTCCAGTTTCCCAAAAAGGAGGCAAAGACCCCTACGAAGAACGGCCTGCCGGGGTCTCGCCCCAGTTCTCCAGAGAGAGATGTGGTAAGAACGTCATTTCAAATCTGCCTGCGATGTTAGGATTTCTGAGATGAAATGTGACACGCCCCCACCTCAGTGATTGACCTTCATTTTGAAACATTGTGTCACAAGCGGTTGTTTACGTGCCATGTAATCCTTTACCATCCTCTCTTCCTTTCTGTTCAAATTCAGAGGAAGAGTCTAGATCTCAACGTTCAGTCTGCTTCAGCTCCATCAAGAGGCAAAACCCTCCCCACACCGGTACAGACAAACCTGCCCATTTACACTAATAAAACTCAATCTGTCAAGCAAGAGCTTTTAATCAGTGGGCTGAATTTAGTTTATAAAAACTCATTTCATATTTTCCAACAAGTGAGAGGGATGCAATTTTTGCCTCGACTCAATTTACATTCCCGATTATCAAGCAGCTTGAACATTTTATGTAATGATAATGTTACCACTATTAAAAGTTTTTCGTTCACAAACGTTTCTGTCATTAGTTACCCTCATGTTGTTCCAAACTTTCTTCTGTGGAACACAATAGAAGGTTCTGTGTGTGTGTGTGTGTCCATCCATACAATGAAAGTCAGTGTCAGTGATGTTCATTGTTGTTTTGGATCTTATTGACTTTTTCTATAAGGACAAAACTCTTCAAATTGTCGGCCCTTTTTTTAATTTTATTTTTTTATATCTTCCACAGATGAAAGCATTACAGGTTTAGAACAACATGAGAGTAAATGATGACAGAATTGTCCTTTTGGGGTGATCTGTCATTTTAATAAGATAATATTTTAAACATTATCCATCCCATACAGTTCTATATGTAAGATGTAGTATCTGTTTCAATTCATAGTATCTGTTGTAAAGTTGTTGTTGTTTTTCCCCTCCTAAAGAAATCTATTCAGTGTTTTCTCAAAATGTATGTACACTAATGGTCAAAAAGTCTGCATGGTTTCAAGGCTGCATTTGTTTAAACAAAAAATACAGTAAAAAAAATTAATATTGTGAAATATTATTGCAATTTAAAATAACTTTTCTAATTTAATGTATTTTCAAATGTAATTTATTCCGGTGATGAAAAGCTGATTTTTCAGCATCATTACTCCAGTCTTCAATTCTTGAATGTCACATGATCCTTCAGAAATCATTCTAATATGCTGATTTGGTGCTCAATGTTTAATAATATATGCATTTATATATTTGTCATTTATTCTTAAAGTATTTATATATTTAAAAATTATTTTTCTTTTCTTTTGTTTATTTGTTTAAAAAAATATGAAGCAGGAAAAAAAATCACATTTTACGAAATATAATGTGAGACTAAAGACTGGAGTAATGATGCTGGAAAAATTGCTTTGCCATCACAGGAATAGGCTAACATTTTAAAATAAATTTGAAAAGAAAATTGTTGTTTTAAATTGTAATGATATTTAACTGTTACCGTTTATACAACATTTGATTAAATTCTTGCAGCCTTGGTGAGCATAAGATGCTTCTTTGACCTATTGTAATAATAAAAAAAAAACTTAATTAAATTTAAATTTTAACTTGTAGTGAATATGAAAGCATTTATCATATATTCTCATCACTCATTACCAACATACTCATTACTTCCTGTAACCTTTCTTTTAGAACATAAGGTAAGTGACTGGAATTTACTCACATCAGCTGTTATTTGTGATTATTGTTATTCATACTTGGGTTTAAAGGATTGTTCAAGTCCGTAAACCTAAGTAAATAACAGTTGGTGAAAAAATCCCATAGATTTACACTAAAGCAGAGACCCAAGCCGTATCCAGGGACCAGAATATAGGATAATATCAGGTTCGGCGCTCCTATTGGTTTTTTATTTGAGTGTTGTTGTAGGAGAAGACACACTACAGGACTGTGCATCAAATCTTCTGACACTGACAGAATTTTGTCGGAAGTAAAATTTGATAAATTTGATTTAGTGACTAACGATTTACTAAATTAGTCTCAGACGGCCAAACCGTGGTCAAAATCGTACCGTGTGAACCCTGCCTAATGATGCGTTCAAGTCCTGGGAAGTTCATCTTTACGAGTTGGGAAGTTGTTTATGATGTCAAGTCACTTTCGTCAGAGCGAGATGGTGGTGTACCTTCTCTTATTTAACTACGCAGAAATACAGCAAGGTTTTTAAGCTCTACTTCTAGAAAAGTTCTTGAGGAACAAATAATGTGCGTCAGGTGTGTTTTGCTCTTATGTTTTGAATTAATTTATGAAGCCACTGTAAACTTTGTTACATGTTATTTTGTTATATTACAATGCTATTATATTTTGTGCAGGCAATTAGCTTATTTTGTTGTAAATCAAACAGCCTGGCAATGTCACTCTTTCTCACTGACACGCCTCCAACTGGTAAAGATCGGGGCTTAAAGAAAATCCAGAGCTTCCCACTAGTATTTACGACTTTGTGGTGGCGTTTATGTGCGTTCAACTTGTAAACACGACCTTTCTGACATTCTGCCTTCACGTGCTGTTGGAAATGTCCTACTTCCCACTTCTGTAGTCGTGATTACGAGCTTGTCGCGTTCAAGTGCTATGTTATTGGAAATAAATCATGGAGGACACTAGGTATAGTCTTGGGGGACTATTTCCTATTTCTTGGGGAAATCTTATTAAAGCCAAAATGAATTGAAGATATTTACATTGACATTGAATTGACAAACATAAACATTGACTGTGCTATCTAGAGAGTTAGCCTGCTGGCAATTCTGGATTTTCTGTCAAGTTCATGCTATTTTTGCTGTGTATTAAACATACAATGCTTCAAATGGTTATGTAAATATGAATTACTGCAAACGACAAGGCGATGTAGCTGTTGTGGAAAAAAACAAATAAAGAATACCAGTCAGCAATCGTTCTCACCTCGGCTATGTTTAAAATTTATGGCCAACTTGGAAACTCAAAATTGTCCGATTTTTCCAGTTACCGGTTGTAAATATGACTTGAAAGGGCATTTATGTCCAAATTCTGACTAGGAAACCCGTATTTACGATAATTCCGATAGCACGTGAAGGCAGCATAAATGTGTCGGATAAGAGGGACATGCAAATGTGCAGAGTGGTGGGTTTCCAGGAGAAGAGTTGAAAACCACTGATCTAGAATGACCTAGCGCATCTTAGCTAACATATAGAAATGCCTTTTTTCTTCGTTTTTTAATTATTATGGTGTTATTTAAGAATTTTGTGTTTTACTGTCTTTGCAGAGAAAAAGTGATTTGTTTTTCTGATTGCTCTTTCAGAAGAGAAAAGCAGAATCTGTGTCTTTGGCAACACAAGTTACAGCAGCGATTCCAGTGCCTTCACTTCCTAGCTCTGCAGAGGCAAGTCAGGCCTCGGTTTATCCAGCCATGAGGGACTCCTCCTTCAGCATTAAATCCAGAGAAGAACATGAGCCGCTCACCTCTCTCTCCACGGTAAAAAAAAGACCCTTTTTTTTGCGTTGAAATGAATCATGGTGTCTGTTTAATCTGTCACAGGAGTTAAATAGCTGCTATTTAATTATCAGAATACAAAGAACATGTTGACAGCTTATACATTTTGACTTTGCTTTTTTCTTCTTGAAGAATGGAACAACACGTCGTCTTATTCCTTCTCAGCCAGGGAGAAAAAGGAAAAATTGTGGAGGAACGGATGAGGTAGTTTTACCATTTTTTAAATCTCTATCAAATCTTAAAATGGCTGAATCCCAAGTTTTGATTATCACTCATTTTTAATACATTCTTACAAATATCACACATTTTATTGTTATTTACCTAGAAGTTGCTAGCATAAAGTTATCATATCTTGTTGGTTAGCATGAATCTGGGTGTGTGTATCTTCAAAAGAATGTAAACAAGTAAATATAAAGTGATCTAAAAAAAACGTTGTGTTTTTCTCCACTTGTGTTTTTCTGTTAGATGGTAAAGGTGTTCCAGAATAACAACCCTCGCTGCTCCACCGTCTATTTGCCACCAGGAGAGGTCCGGCTCCTTTACTTCCAATTGCCTTGATTGTGTGTCTGTTAAAGTGGAGGCATTTAGGAGAGGCTATTTAGAGAAAAGTATGAAACTCAAACTATAGAAATTTAGCTAAAAAGCCATTGGATCTCATAAATGCAAGAGTCATGGAAGATAATAGTATTTCTTTTTTCAGTGAATTGAGTAATAGTAAATGAGTAATTCCTGCTATTTACAGTGATAGCAAGATTTCCCTCGAGATATGATAAAGTTCAGAGTTTTTTTTTTAATGCACAGGACATCTGCTTTTGTCATTGACTGCTGTTAGATCTCTCTAACTCTACTCTCTGCTCTCAGGATTCGCAGGACAGTTCTGATGGTATTCCCTCTGCCCCTCGCATGACTGGTAGTTTGGTGTCGGACCGCTCACACGATGACATCGTCACGCGAATGAAGAACATAGACTGTATCGAGCTGGGCCGGCACAGGCTAAAGCCGTGGTACTTTTCTCCATACCCACAGGAGCTCACCACCCTCCCCATCCTCTACCTTTGTGAATTTTGTCTTAAGTACCTCAAGAGCCTCAAGTGTCTCCAGAGGCATCTGGTAAGAGCTCAAGGACTGTAGTTAGACTGCTTTAGATAAACTGTCAAACCCTCTTACAGCATCATATTGGTGTCTGTTTTCATCTCAGTAAAACTGCACCAAAAAAAAACATACACTACTGTTCAAAAGTTTTTGAAAAAAATACTTTTATTCAGCAAGAACACAATTAATCAATTAAATTGATCAAAAGTGATAATTTATGTTACAAAATATTTTAATTTCAAATAAATGCTGCTATTTTAAACTATATTCATTAAATAACCCTGAAAAAATATATCCCAGTTTCCACAAGAACATGAAGCGGCAAAACTGTTTTCAACTTTGATAATACAGGTGAAACTCGAAAAATTAGAATATCGTGCAAAAGTTCATTTATGTCAGTAATTCAACTTAAAAGGTGGAACTAATATATTATATAGACTCATTGCATGCAAAGTGAGATATTTCAAGCCTTTATTTGTTATAATTTTGATGATTATGGCTTACAGCTTATGAAAACCTTTTCACAATATTCAATTTTTTAATTTGGGGTTTTCATAAGCTATACGCCATAATTATCAAAATTATAACAAATAAAGGCTTGAAATATCTCACTTTGCATGTAATGAGTCTATATAATTAGTTTCACCTGTACATGTTTCTTGAGCACCAAATCATCATATTAGAATGATTTCTGAAGGATCATGTGACAGTGAAGACTGGAGTAATGATGCTGAAAATTCAGCTTCACATCACAGGAATAAATTACATTTTTAAAATATATTCTAAAATAAAACTGCTATTTTAAATTGTAATATTTCACAATATTATTTTTTTCACTATATTTTTGATCAACTAAATGCATTCTTGGTGAAAAGAGACTTATTAAAATGTAAAAAAAAAAAAAAATCTTTTGAACTGGAGTGTATCTTTTGTAAAAAACAACAACAACATAAACCTTCCATCATATTTTAGTTTTGATGGTTTAATGCAAGGTACATTGCACATGAGTGTCATTTATGTGGGGGGGAAAAAACAAGGCATATAGTCTACCTAATTTGGTTCTAAGGTAATGTTGATATAACAGTCACAACAGATGTTTTATAGACTGTTCTATATTTGAATTGCTTATGTCCTTTATTTGTGCAGGTCAAACTATTCTTACAGGTCAATTTGTCAAGCTGTACTTGCATCTGGCGATGTTCTTACATTATTTAGCTGATTACATTACAGGTATTATTATTAAATTCAGTCTAATGAGATGTTTCAATCACAGTTAATCAAAACCCGATATTTCATATAATCAGTTTACCATAATCAGATTAATTTTTTTTTATTTACCTGATTTGCCGCTTACACTTCTTTTTTGGGTTGAAAGGCACCTGAGCACAGACACACTTAAAACAACAAGCTTTAGTGTGTTCTTGGCTTAAGCAACATACCCACAGATAACTGTCACCTCTCTATAACTATTACAGACAAAATGCAACCTTCGACACCCTCCAGGAAATGAGATCTATCGCAAAGGAACTATATCATTTTTTGAAATAGATGGCAGGAAAAACAAGGTGGGTAACCTCTAGTTTGTTATAATTTGCTTTAAACTGACTTATCGTGTGTGTGTGAGGTGAGTGAGAATAATCTTAGTGTATTTCTATTTTGAATGGGTGGAAAGATCACCATTTTAACTGAACGCATGAATGTCAGGGAATAGAAATATATTCATGAATATGAGACAATTGCCATTTTGTCTAAAATCTAGGTCACCTGAAATTGCCAAGTTTTTGCAAATGATAGCATTCAGCACTTTACTGCAGGGCCGTAACCACCATAGACGTTGAGGGGGATTGAGACGTAGAAATAGTCAAATTGTCCACACACCCCCCGCCTCCAATATTTGAAATTCTTGCTCTGCTATGCTGTACTCCATTACGCAGCGCTCTGCATGTTGCTACAATGACAAAAGTGTTTGGTTACACTTCATTTTAAGGTGTCAGTGTTAGTGTAATTATACATTTAAAGGGATACTCCACTTTTTTTGGAAATAGGCTCATTTTACAACTCCCTCAGAGTTAAACTGTTGAGTTTTACCGTTTTTGAATCCATTCAGCCGATCTCCGGTTCTGACGGTACCACTTTTAGCATAGCTTAGCATACATCATTGAAGTGGACAAGACCATTAGCAGTTCTCAAACAAAAATCACCAAAGAGTTTCGATATTTTTCCTATTTAAAACTTGACTCTTCTGTAGTTACATCGTGCACTAAGACCGACGGAAAATGTAAAGTTGCGATTTTCTAGGCTGATATGGCTAGGAACTATACTCTCATTCCTGCATAATAATCAAGAAACTTTACTGCCGTACCATGAGAGCAGCAGGCGTAATGATATGACGCAGCGCTTGAAAATAGGCTACCTTCCGTCAACACAACGGAACTATTTTCAGGCGCTGCGTCATATCATTATGCCTGCTGCACTCATGGTACGGCAGTAAAGTTTTTTTATTACTACGCAGGAATGAGAGTATAGTTCCTAGCCATATCAGCCTAGAAAATCGCAACTTTACATTTTCCGTCGGTCTTAGTGCACGATGTAACTACAGAAGAGTCAAGTTTTAAATAGGAAAAATATCGAAACTCTTTGGTGATTTTTGTTTGAGAACTGCTAATGGTCTTGTCCACTTCAATGATGTATGCTAAGCTATGCTAAAAGTGGTACCGCCAGAACCGGAGATCGGCTGAATGGATTCAAAAACGTTTAAACTCAACAGTTTACCTCTGGGGGAGTTGTAAAATGAGCCTATTTCCAAAAAAGTGCAGTATCCCTTTAAGTACTGAGTATTTACTATAGGGTTAGGTTTAGGATTAGGGTTTGGCTTATTTTATGCATTACTTGTAGTCATTAATACAGCAACTACATGTGACGTATAACAAGGACTAATAGAAGTAAAAGTGTTACCAAGGGTTTAAAAGTACACTTTTTAGTCTGGTCTGCCTCAGCGGTCTAACTACGCTTGTCAATGTCAAACTGATTGAGATGGCCAATCAAATCAAAGTAGGCAGGGTTTCTGTTCACAGAAGCAGAGTGTGAAGTACAGCGCAGCGTCAGTTTAACATTGAAAGAGAGTGAGGTAATGCATGTCAACTGTTTTACGATAGAAATGTTAAACGACCAATAGTAACATCAAGGGATCTAAACTACTCGACTTTTTTCTCAAATATGGCCGTTTTGAATTGAAAACATATTTGATTCATGTAATTCCTAACTGAGTATGACGAGACAAGAAACGCTTTACGTTTTCGGCATGTAAGGCATGCAAATAAAGGTACCTGTCCATATTTCAATGCAAATTTATGCAAATGTTACGTGCCGCTACGCGTGGGTTGTTTTTTTCCCCCATGTTTTATAAATTTTCTACTATGAAATAGCCAGTTAAATAAAGGCTTTTTATTAATTCCTAAGAAGAGTGCCTTGGATTTCCTTCTACTACATGTCATTGAATTCCCGACCCCAAAGAGCACCTTCACACACTTTTTTGAACTACTTTTTTGAACTCCTTGAGCACCCTGGACACTTTTTTTCCTTTTATGCAAATGTTATTTGCGAATGGTTCAAAATTATTAATTTCCCAACTAGAATTAGACCTATATTTTCCTTCACTGTTCTATTTCTTTATGCTTTCTAAAAAATTGTTGACCCTATTAAACCAAGACATGGTTACGGCCGTAATTTACTGGAGCTGGTATGGTTAAACTAACATGTTGGTTTGTGATGCACATGTTTATGGAAATATATTTCTTGATGGCCTGTTAAAATCTGTTTTTTTCCTTCTCCTATTGCACAGACATATTCCCAAAATTTGTGTTTATTGGCCAAATGCTTCCTGGACCACAAGACCCTGTACTATGACACGGATCCTTTCCTCTTCTATGTTATGACAGAGTATGACTCGAAGGGTTTCCACATAGTCGGCTACTTCTCCAAGGTATAATGTAGCTTTGCTTCCATCAGTGCACTGATATTCTAAGTGTTTTACAATTTTGGCTAGTCCCCTTTTTTGTATGATAGGCTTGCTTGCATTGTGTTTTCATTGGCTGTGTTTTCCCCTCCCATTAAAGGAAAAGGAATCAACAGAGGATTATAATGTAGCCTGCATTTTGACTTTACCACCTTACCAGAGAAGAGGCTATGGCAAACTACTAATCGAGTTTAGTGAGTAATCATACAGTTATGTCTTTTTACTTGGCAACATAGAATGTGATCACATAAGGATTTTTTTTTATTATTATTATTTTATTTTTACTATGCGTTGAAAGTTATAGCTTGCTATCTCAGAATAATGTGTAGGTCGTATAAGCAAACAAACATTTTTTAGTTTTTGTTCACATCTGTCAGGTTATGAGCTCTCAAAAGTGGAAGGAAAGACCGGTACTCCAGAGAAGCCTCTGTCGGATCTGGGTCTGCTCTCTTATCGCTCTTACTGGTCTCAAACTATTCTGGAGATCCTCATGAACCTCAAGTCAGAGAATGGAGAACGGCCACAGATCACCATCAAGTAAGGATCTTCTTCTTTAACCTCACTATCAAAAATCAGAACCATAAAGTGTATGTGGGGGGATTTTACTTAATCTCACTCTTTTCTTTTTCTCCGTAAAGAAATTTATTTTCATATTTTTTTGTATTATGACATTAATTTATTGGCAATTAGCATACACCCTAGTGTTCTCTCAGACCTCTATTTGAGATTCTCTGCAGTGTGTATTTGAATAAAAGAAGTATATAATCTGCGTGTTTCAGAGCGTCACTATATTCTTAAATGCGAGTAGCTTATGATATGGTGTTTTAAAAATCTCAGTGGTTTACATTAAATGTATCGCACTCCAACTCTGCAAGTGCTGAGAGTTTAACATGCATTTGGGAGCATAATATGCTGCAGTTATGCTTTTTCACCTTTCGTATAATTTCCAACATTTTTTGTGGATATATGATAATAGATTTGTAATGAGAAGTGGATGTAAACTAGACAGATCTTCCTGGAGTTTTCTGCCAAAAATAAAAGCTTGAGGGTTTAACTCTTGCAAGTGAAGAAATTCAGTTCTAAGTATTGTAATTTTACTAATTAAAGTAGTAATGATAATATACTTATGAAATATATATTTTTTTAATTTTACAATGCAGTTGTATTGCAATAGTAATATACATTATGTCTGTCATAATATAATAATAATGTTGTGAGGTATCTCAGACAGAGTTTCGGTTGATAGAAAATGGTATTAAATATTAATATTTAAGATATTGTACAAAGAACAGTATTGACACCCCACCCCTAATTATCATTACTGTAAGGATAAAAAATCTTTTTAATTTGAATTTTATTAGAGATATATTGAATTGTAAGTGTATGTACATGATAATATTAGTTGTACTGCCTTTAGTTTATGCAGATTTTAATACTAATTTAATTTTAAAAAAGAGTCTTGACCTGATGATTCCCATGATTTTTCTTGCAATAATGAGAATCTAATGATAAACTTGTTAAATGTGTTTAATTCTCAAAGTGTATTACAATGTGGAATGCAAAATAATTGACTTTTCCTTTGATTTGGGGGTCAGATACGACCCAGAAATGTCTTCCAGAGATTTACCACATCCATTATGATGGCTCAGTTTAAAAAAGCTTGTAATGAACATGTTTTTAACATTATTTGTGATTCTCTCAGTGAAATCAGTGAGATTACCAGTGTCAAGAAAGAGGATGTGATCTCAACTCTTCAATACCTCAACCTCATCAATTATTATAAGGTAAGCGATGGCTTGGGATGTGCTTCAGATTTCCCATCAACCCTAATTGTTAATATATCATTACAATTGGTGGTTTTCTCATTTTTGTTTAAGTTTATTGAGCTTGATTGATCTCCTTGCAGGGTCAGTATATCCTCACCCTATCAGAGGACATAGTGGAAGGTCATGAGCGGGCCATGCAGAAGCGTCACCTCCGTATCGACTCCAAATGTTTGCATTTCACTCCTAAAGACTGGAGTAAAAGGGGCAAGTGGTAAAGACTGGAGGAGGACTGCTAGCACCCAGCTAACACGTCACATCCCGCTCACAGAGCAATTCAGTTCAAGAGACTGTAGCTGTTCCACAAACAGACCTGACCTGAAAATGTGTGTGTACAAGAAGACAAACACAGTGTAATATTGTTAAAGATTCCACTGTCCACATCTGCATGTTATGTGACTGACGTTTACACATTTTTATATTCTGTGAAATTAATGTTAGTCTGTTATTTGTCCGTATGTGAGAATGGAAAATTGTATTCGATAGGTCCTCTTAGATGCCTATATTTATGGTCTGTGCCATGTTTTATTACTCTGACCAACAACAGTATTATACACACAGTGATCAGTGCTCTGTAAAGTGATATGACCTTGTTTATTTTCATTGACTTCCGTGATACAAGCGGCAGAAACCATTGGTGACAGGATGTAGGTTTTCCCAGCTATGTGACAAATAAATAAGCAGCGATTTTCAAGAGCAACTACAAATGCCAGTGAAGACACGTGATCCATCTCGTGTGTCAAGACTGAGAAGGTAATCATATATCAGTTGGTGTATGTAGTTGATTTAATGTTAAATCAAGGATACTTGCCACATGCAAAATTGCCGGCTTTTTTTGTTGTTGTTGAAGAAATGGCTTCCCTTTTGTTTTCACTTTTGTAATCAAACTGAGTTTTTTCCAGAGTACATCAGACAGTCTTCCAGCCTGAATGCTCTCTTGGATCCAGATAGCCCTCGACTTGCACATAGTTTTTTCTTGTATTATACGTTTTATGCACTGATTCCATTTTTAATATTCCTTTTCTCCAGAAAGTCTAATAGGAGAAAGAAAGCTGATTCGATTTCAACAACATGGAAATCTGTTAATGGCTTAAATGTGATTAGGCAACTAATAGTGGGGTTTTTTTCCCGCTAAAGAAAAAACATTTTGGAGAGATAGGGTTATTTAAATGGAATCTGTACATATGTAAGATATAAAAAAGAGGCTATGCCATTGTGGCCATGAATATGCGGCCAAAACAGAGACGTTTCCTATAAACAACTGGCAATTTGGTTGTGTTGAGTACTAGCCTCTATTTAATATAAATTTAAACTACTACATATGCTTACTCTTAACGTCTCTGTCTTGCCGACACATGAAATTCGCTGCTTGTTTGCATAAAGTTCAACTCTTGTCAGCTTTGCTTTGCTGGGCAGGCCTACATCCTGACGCCAATGGCCAGTGTGTCGCTGGAGGTCGGCAGCTCTCCATTGAAAATGAATCCAATCACACTTTATTGCGTGTCACTGGTGGAGTGAACTGGGCTGGAATGGTGCTTTACAGTGTCATCGTGTCTGTATATAATATACTACACGTAAAATAAATGTCTTTTCTACGCGGTATGGTATGTGTCTAGATCAAATGCGCATGGATGTATTTGGATACGTATTACGTGCACATTTATTACTTTTTTTTTTTTTTTTTACTGAATGTAAACCAGCAAACTGCACAAAATTGTTGTATTTTAGGTAAATTTTTTTTTTTTTTACATGTCTATTGTTAGAAATAGTAGCTTGAAAGTATTTAGCTAAAGTAATTTTCTGGCATTTTAAAATGTATCTTACCCTTGGTTTTTTTAGCCTACTAGCTAGCTTACCGAACCTGCTGACTTTATAAATCTATATAAAATAAAAACGGATAACAAAATAGATCCACACCCTTTGCAAAATCTGAAAATGTTAATAATTCAATTTACTGAATAAGATATTTTACATAAAAGATGTTTACATATAGTCCACAAGAAAAAAAAAATGCTGAATTTATAAAATTGTAAAATAATGTAATTAAATTAATAATTATTATTAACAATAATTAAAATTGTAAAAAAATGCTGAATTTATAAAATTGTAAAATAATTATATTGTAAAATAATATAATTAAAATTGTAAAATAATAATTTTTAATTGTTCAAAAGTTTCTGTACCCTTGATTCTTAGTACTTACCCGGATGATCCACGGTGGTTGTTCTTGAGTCCCTTGTTTGTCCTGAGCAGTTAAACTGCCCAATGTTCTACAGAAAAATCCTCCAGTTTTCCAGCATCTTTTGCATATTTGAACCCTTTCCAGCAGTGACTATGATTTTGAGATCCATCTTTTCACACTGAGGACAATTGTGGATAAAAACCTTCCCGTATCATCTCATCAGTTTTAATACATTATAAAACTTTGCAATATGTGGTTATAACTATTAACAGTATGATGTTTTATAACACACAAACACATTATATCTTCTTAAATTAGAGTGAATTATCATTCTCAGAGCATTTTTATATTCTAGGTGAGCTATTCCTTTAACTTACATAAGTGTAAGTCTCCACTGCCTGCATAGTAACAGTAAATCCTACTGTGAATGTTGCACAGAATCAGAAAAGCTGTTAATTCTGTTAATTCCAGGTTGCAATAGCTCTGCCCTTACGTGGCCTCGTGGGTTATGAGACCTTTTTACCACACTTTAAACTGTTGTGATGCTGTGCTGTGAACAAAGTTAAAAGATGTTACCGTGTAGACTCACTATCCAGAGTTCATTATCAGGACTGAAGTGAATGACCTGGACTCTATCGGCCGGGTGATTTCAGTTAAGTGTTTTCTCATAACCACAAAAGAAGACACTCAGTTTGTTCTGTTCCATCTTAAAATGTATCATACGTTCATTTAAATCTCATAACATTCATAACTTTTACATTATAACAGTGCAGTATTTTGTCCTGTCAAAGGTTTAGACTTTTAAATTATTGACAGATATACAGTATATTAGATATTTCCTCCAAGAAAAAGATTACACAATGGAAAAAAGAGCACTTTTTCAAAGCCACACGGTGACGTGTTCATTCACAAAGGCTTTTCTGTTTCATACTCACAACAATCTTCTTAAAAACAGCAGCTTGTTTGTCTGAGTCCCACATCCAACACATAACTTTCAAACACACGCTGTAAAGGAATTCAAGTAGCTGTTATCTTTGTCTATCACAACACAGGACAATATTTAATAATGTTAATAATAATAAGAAACCATACATGTTTGAAAACTTGAATAAAACTTGAGAGACAGCCATAACTTGTGTAAAACTTGACGTAATAAATGTTTTTTTTTTTACAGTCTACTACCTACCCCCCCCCCCCCCTCTCTCTCTCTCTCTCTCTCTCTCTCTCTCTCTCTCTCTCTCTCTCTCTCTCTCTCTCTCTCTCTCTCTCTCTCTCTCTCTCTCACACACACACACACACACACTGAACAGCGCATTTATAAACGCCTGTGACGTCAGTCGAGCGGCTCAGCCTCGGGGATGAAGATGGTTCTCATCAAAGAATAGTGAGTGTTACATTTATTTTTATTCATTTATTTTATAGATGTTTATGTTGCCTTATTTGATATTGAATAGTTTGTATTCCAATTTACCTATGCTGCTAGATCTCTACATAGTTTGCGTGACTTTTACATGTTGTGTGAACAGTGATGATGATGATGTTGATGATAATGTGTGTGTTGCGGGTGAACTCAGGTCTGGCCTACCGGCTCTGACAGCAACTAAACACATGCAGTTGATCATTTATCGTAACGTTCACATGAAGTCATTTTCATACCTCACATACTTTATAGTTTTGTTTTAAGGTAGACCGAGGCTAGCTGTCACAGGGATTATAAACTAAGCTAGCTATGATGGTTCGAGTCAATAGTCTCCAAATTCTTGTTTTCTCTATAGCAGTGGTTTTATATGTGTGTAAAATCTCTAAAATTCGATTTTTTTAATGAATTCTGAAAAAGAAATGCATATATCTTTGATAAATATCAACTGAGTGAGTCTATCAGATGTATCGAACTTGGCCATTTTTAATTTCCTTTTTTTAATTACCTTTAGTATTTGTATTGGAAAACTACCCTTTTGTCATGGTGCACACAAATGACATATTATAGAACTGTATTTAATTACATAGATTATACTTATATGTTTACAGAAACATCAGTATCTCAGCTCAGGATAGTTCTGGCTCCTAGGGACCAACAATTATCTCTAGAGTACAATAAAACAAGACATATGTACACATATAAACACTTTGTTCCTGTTCCTTAAAGGAATAGTCCTCCCAAAAATGAAAATGATCTTATCATTTATTTACCCTCATGCCATTCCATTTTATTTCTACTGTAAAGCAAAATTTAAAAAATGAAAATTAGGGATGCATTATATATCGGCCACCATATCAGTATCGGCCGATATATGTTACTTTTTAATGTTATTGTTATCGGCCCCGATAAGTAAATTAGGCTGATATCTTAAAGCCGATAAAAAATTGATTATTTCCTTCAGATGAGACACTTCAGATGTGCACTGTTGCCATGATGGTTTTGAATTGCTTGAAATATGATTGAAATCACTTCAAAAAAGGAAAAAAAAACAAAAAACAGTTAAGTGCAACATGTGCAGCCAGCGCAAGTCTGTCATATAGTCTACATAACATTATAATGAGAGAACATTATAATTATGTGCTTGGGACATGGCTTTTCAGGGTGAGACTTTTGTTTTAATCAGGCTCTCTAAAATTATGTAAAAATTTGGATATAGATTTATCGGCCAATATAATGGTTATCGACTGTCAAATATAAAGAATGATCGGTTATTGGCCAAAATCTTCATAGCGGTGCATCCCTACATTGAATATTACAGGTGTTATTTTTGAACAAACTGAAAATGAAGTCTGGAAAGTGAATGTGGATTATTCAATTGTGTGTGAAATGTTTATAGTTTAAATATTCACAGCTTGAATGTGTAGAATTTCAGCCCCATCCCCCCCCCCCCTCCTAAATGCAGGCTACTGGAATTGGACACGTCAACAAACAAAAATGTATGGTCCAATATGATAGTTCTATAATATATCTATAAATAGCATATACTTTTGATAACTTCAGTATACTGTGCAGCATATAAATATATTAGTGCTGTCAAATCAATTAATCACATCTAACATAAAGTTTGTAAATATATAATATGTATATATATATATATATATATGTATACATACATACAGTCATGTGAAAAAGAAAGATCACCCTTTAGAATTTTCAGGTTTTACATATCAGAACATAATAACAATCATCTAGTCATTAGCAGGTCTTAAAATTGGGTAATTAAAACCTCAGATGAAGAACAACAAATGACATTACACCGTGTCATTATTTATTTAACAAAAGCTAGGCCAAAATGGAAAAGCCATGGGTGGCAAACGAAGTACACCGTATGATTCAATTGCTTGTAGAGACACTTTTAGCAGCAATAAGTTGAAGGAATCGATTTCTGTATGACAGTATCAGTCCCTCGCATCGTTCTGGAGGAACGTCCCGCTCTTCTTTACAACATTGCTTCAGTTCATTGAGGTTTGTGGGCATCTGTTTATGCACAGCTCTCTTAAGGTCCCGCCGCAACATTTCAGTCGGGTTGAGGTCTGGACGTTGGCTGAGCCAGTGCAAATCCTTGATTCTTTTTCTTTTTCAGCCATTGTTATAGATTTGCTGGTGTGCTTGGTATCGTGGTTCTGTTGCATTTAGGCCAAGCTTTAGCTGTCAGACAGATGGCTTCACATTTGACTCTAGAATACTTTGGTATACAGAAGAGTAACAGTTTATGGTCGACTTAATGATTGCAAGGTGCCCAGGCAAGGTGTTTCACCTAACTTGGCACAGTGCGTTATGGCCAAACATCTCCACCTCGGTCCCGTCTGTCCGAATGACATTGTTCCAGAAGTCTTGAAGTTTGTTCAGATTCAACCTTGCAAACGTAAGCCGTGCTGCCATGTTCTTTTTAGAGAGAAGAGGCTTCCTCCTGGCAACCCTTCCAAACATGCCATACTGGCCCCGTCTTTTTCTAATTGTCATGAACTTTAACATTTAACATGCTAACTGAGGCCTTTAGAGTCTGAGGTGTAGGGTGAATTTGCTGGGACGTCCACTCCTGGGAAGATTTGCAACTGTCTTTAATGTTTTCCACTTCCTTACTGTAGAATAATGGACTTCAGATTGTTTGTAAATGACCATATACGTAACGTAACCCTTCTCAGGTCGATGGCAGCAACAATTGCTTCTCTAAGATCATTGCGGATGTCTTTCCTCCTTGTTATTGTGTGAACACACACCTGAATGCTCCAGACCAGCAAACTGCCAAAACTTCTGCTTTTATAGAGGTGGTCACACTTGCTGATGATCAGTTCATCAAAGACATTTGATTATCAGCGCCACGTTACTACTCACCCTCTTGATTCCTATGCAAGCTTAGTTAGTCACCTATTGCTTTTCAATTTTGGCTTAATATTTGTTAATTAAAATAAATAATGACAGTGTAATATCATAAAATGTAATACATTTTTAGTTTGCTATTGCTGGATCTCATGTGAGTGACAGGTTGTCCCACCCTCGCACCGATAAACACGTCATTAGAGAAGAACCACTTTTAGGAAAAAAATCCTTTGTGTTCCATAGATGAAAGAACATACAGGTTTGGAACAACATGAGGGTGAGTAAATGGTGAGTAAAAAAAGACATAATTTTCATTCTGGGTGACCTACAGTATCCCCTGTGCCTGTCCTGTTCTTTCCTCACCAAGAATATTATGCATAAATTATGTTGCATTGTCTTTTTGTGTGTGTATGTAAGTCTCACTTCAGTATCTCTCGGTGTGTTTCAGCCACATTGTTTTGCCATGCACTGTTGAAGAGGTGAGTTTATTATTGCTTTTCATTTTTTTTAAAGCAGCTGAATATAAATCTATACTGTCACATTAATTTATACATTCTTTAACTCATGCCTCTGTGCACATAGGTTGTAGTTTTACTACAGCAGCATATGGAAGTATTTACAGTAGCATACAGGCAAAAGTTTGGACACCTACTCTTTTATTTGTACAATTTTCCATATTTTAGATTCATAGTAAAGTCATCAAATCTAAGAAATAACACAAATTGAAGTATGGGAATTATGCAGTGACCAACAAATGCTAAACAAACCAAAGCAATCTTATATAAAAAAAAAAAAAAAAAAAAAAATGGTATAGTTCAGTGGTTCTCAACCCCACAAGGGGGCCTCAGCAAACTTCCATGTTGTTGCATGGTTGTTGGAGCCAGACGGGCTGGTCTGAATATTTCAGAAACTGCTGATCTACTGGGATTTTCAGGCACAACCATCTCTAGGGTTTACAGAGAATGGTCTGAAAAAGAGAAAATATCCAGTTAGTGGCAGTTCTGTGGGTGAAAATGCCCTGTTGACGCCAGAGTTCAGAGGAGAATGACCAGGGTGGATTGAGCTGATAGAAAGGCAACAGGAACTCAAATAAGCACTTGTTACAACCGAGCTCTGCAGAAAAGCATCTCTGAACGCATCTTAAAGCAGATGGGCTACATGTCCATCCCTTTATGACCACAGTGTACCATCTTCCGGTGGTTATTTCCAGCCAAAAAGCTCAAATCATCTCAAACTGGTTGCTTGACCGTGGCAATGAGTTGACTATCCTCAAATGGCCTCCACAGTCACCAGATGCAGTAAGCAGTGTGGTAGAATCCATTCTCAACATAGCCTAAATGTTGTTGGCTATTATGATTTGTTTCAGTATCAAGTAGGGCAGCTGTACTCTGTGGCAGAAGCCAGCAAGAATGAGACCGGTGGAGGAGAGGGCATAGAGATATTGAAGAACGAGCCCTATGAAAAGGATGGCGAGAAAGGACAGTACACGCACAAAATCTACCATCTCAAAAGGTATGCAGATGTGGATTTACACACCTGTATGCATACCAGTCATGACTGCGTGAGAAGCCTGGCTTTCAATACAATTTGACAATATATTATTTAACACGTTTTAGGAACATTTAAGTAATTCAAACATCATATGTGTTTTTCGTTTTGTATGTTCTACTGCCCAGCAAAGTACCAGGCTTTGTAAGGGTGATCGCTCCTGAAGGTTCGCTTGTGTTCCACGAAAAGGCCTGGAATGCGTACCCTTACTGCAGAACAAGTGGGTGGAAAACTTTGAAACAAGCTTATTGGTTATGCATCACATATGCACCAACCAGTGAAATAAATGCTTTAAAATGGTTCATTACAGTCCATTTCTATTCTAAACATTCAACCTAATTTAGTTGCACTTTCATTATGTATGATTAATCATGCTTAAATTTTTTATGTTTTAAGAATTTAAATGAACGTGAAGTTTACTTTTAATATATAGAGACTTAATTAGGATAACCGGTTGTAATTCATTGGTGTAACCTCTAATCGTGTCTGTGTTTTTCTATTGTTTTATATACATGTTTGCCACAGTTGTAACGGTAAGTGCACTGAAAACTTTGTTGGTTCTATTAAATTAAAATACCTCTTTTTGTTAATCACATGTAAGGAATGCCAATTTTCAAGACCCTGTGAAGCAATATGACAATTAAAAAAAAAAAATTCTTTAAATGCTTATGTAAATGTCATAGCCCGACTGCCCGACATAACCATAATTTGCTGTTTGCTATTGCTAGTCGATGACTGGTCATTCTAAAAGGCATTTTATTGGACAAATTTTTTGCAAACATGCATACAAGATTATTTGGACATTTTACTGAAAGTCTTTAAGTTTTACATTTGCTACAAGTTTATTTAGTCAACTTTTAGAAGTGCATTGCCATTTAGAATGCCACAAAGTTAATAGATATTGACTAAAAGTCACAAAACCTGTTCTTGATCTTCATTTTACTGGGTCTTTCATGCTGTCAATGCAATGGTATATGGTTGCCAACTGATAAATCAAATGAAATGTTGATTAATCCATCACAATTGCATAATAATCTCTCTCACAAGATATTTTTTTTATAGTAATCATGTACACTAATCTGTAAGATTATTATTATTTTTTTAAATTTTGAAACAAGTTTCCTGTCCTCAACAATTCTGCATTTATTTGATTTAAAATACAGTAAAAAAATGTAATATTATAAAATATGATTTAAAATAACTTGTTTTAAAATGTTTTTTTTTCAAAGCTGAATTTCCAGTCTTTAGTGTCACATGATCCTGTGATATTTCACTGATTAGGAATAAATCAATTCTTACTGACCCCAACCTTTAGAATGATAGCTGATATAGATCTCATTAATTCACCACATTTGATATTGAACCTGATATTGAAGCTTTTTGAGATTCTTAGCCTGTACATTATTTCATATTGTATGCACATAGACCTACCACATGTTCATTTACTGTAAAGACAATACAATGCTTTGATTTTTGTTTTCCCAGAATGAGTACATGAAGGATGATTTTTTCATCAAGATTGAAACATGGCACAAACCTGACCTTGGAACACTAGAGAATGTGAGTGCACTTGTATGTATTCTGTGTTTTCATAAAAAAACATGCTATCTGTGAATTTAATGGGCTCGTGAGAGGGAATACCTATTAAACCGGTTACATCCAGAGGTTGAGGTAAGAGTCAGTGTAAAATTATGATATCAGATCAAATTCCATTTTAACTTTATTATTAAGGTGAACGATATACCAGTAGACAAGTTAAACTGCTAGAAAACGTAAAAAAAAAAAAATGTTGGATTATTGTCACGGTTTCCCAAAGTGTTACAAAGGTTTATCCTTTGAATGCGTTTTGAAGCCTTGCCAGGGGTGCGTTTCCCGAAAGCATCGTTAGCCATATATGGTCGCAAGTTCCGTCGTTATCAGCAGAGTTCAACGAGTCGATGTTTCCCGAAACCATCGTTCCAACGAACATTCGCAAACAGCATCGCACAGTTGTGTGATTGGAACGACAGCTCTCGAGCTGTGGTTAGAAGCATAGTTTATAAATTGCATGACATGTGGACTTACTTAATAAATCCGTATATTGGGCAAAATAAGCAAGCTGACATTCAGTACAACCTGTGTCTTTTATTTAGAATACAAATGTGTTTGACATCTTTGAGTTTGTCATTTAAAGGTGACCTATAATTCAAAATTGAATTTACCTTGGTATAGTCAAATAACAAGAGTTCAGTGCCATGGACATGACATGAATCTCAAACTGGACTGTTTTGGCGTTCTCATTTAATTCACGTTTATGAAAAACACCCCTGAAAAACGGTCGGTTCTCTACACAATACCGACTGTGACGCAATAGTCGGGATCATTAATATGTACGCCTTCAAATATTTGCATAATGCCAGCCCTCAATGCCAGGCGGAACTGCGCAGCCGAAGCATGGCAGTTGCTCAGTGTGGATGTACACATGAACACAAAAGTATTTTTTAGTTCCTTCATCTGAGCCTCTGAAGAAACAATGGGTCAATTTTATTTTCTCTGGAAATTTCCAAACATTTCACCGAGTGTTTCCTCAACTTGGGCCAATACAGAGCTGGCCTCGGATCGAGCTACCAAGCAACACTTTCTGATGTGTAATTGTTCAAGTTCGGACAGGTAATCTTTCTCTCAAAATCGTTCAATACTGTTTATGCATCAGTAAGTCAAGCCAGTGACTAAAATATCAGCTTCACATCGTTTCTTTTAGTAGGATGAAAATAATCGTATTTAAATTGTGAACAAATTATATACAGAAAGCGATCAAAGAACAATCTTTCCACACAGCGCGAGTTTATCTGGACACTTGCCAAACTCGTTATGAAATCAATGACGCACGTTACTGCACAACGAAGCTCTTACTGTATTTACATCATCGTGTTTGCATTGGTGAAAGCAGAGAGAGTGCAGAAACTGCTTTGCAATGATAAGATCTTCATTCTCGCGATCAACAGACTGTCATCTGCTCAATGCTCACCATGGCAACATTTTATGTGATGGGAATAGATCTAAATACTTTAAAAACATCTCACGATTCGTTAATCTCGATAGCTGTTATAGTAAAAACGTATAATAGCAGTAGTAAAAGTATTCGGGAGAGAGTTTCACATGTAATGCGTTGCTATTTCATATGCAAGCATGTCAGCCAATCACAGCAGTGGCCGCGGTTACACTGAATCCCACAGCAGACACGCCCCTTCAAACAGAGTGTTCAAATCAGAGGCTAAAAGCAGGCTAGGAAAAATGCCATTTATTTCTAAATTATGAATATTTTTTATCTAAAAAACATACTAACATTATAAGGGTAACCCAGGAAACATTATAAAAAATAAAATAAAAAAACATTCTAGGGCACCTTTAAAGCACCGTTTTTGAAGACTGCGCATGTGCGAACGTGCTCTGTAAGAACGAGCCTATGATTAAATCTGGAAATAAAGCGAAATAACTGAGAAAAATTTGAAATATTCCTCAGATGCCATGTCTGTAATTTATATCAAAACATCTAGCATTAATTCGATCTCAAACAGTTTAATTAAATTAAGTTATTATTCCACCACGTGCGTGACGTCATAAACCGATGTGGTTGAACACCACTTTGCGACAATATGGTTTCGGGAAACAGTCGTGACTAGCTAGTTGATTTCTTCAACGATGCATCGTACCATGGTAGTTAAGCAGCGAGTTATGTCGTTGTACGGGAAACGCACCCCTGATTAACTCCCAGTTTCACAGACAAGGTTTAAACTAGTCCCAGATTAAAATGCATGTTTGAGCAGTTTGAACTAAAAGCAACTTGCACTGGTATATCTTAAAATATGTCAGTGCCATTGTTTTGTCTTAAGATGCACACCAGTCATGTTTTTTCTTTCTAAGGAACGTTTATAAAATCTACTTAAATGTTGTAATTAAACTAAGGCCTAATCCTGGCTTAATCTAAACCCTGTCTGTGAAACCAGGGGCACGTTCAAATTCAAAACGGTGCGCAACGTTTTGCTACGTTTTCCGGGTTGAACGTCATGTTTCCTGGAAACGGCGTGCACCGGTGTGCAACGGGGTTTGAGATACGTTTTCTCTTTTTTGGTGGGTGTTTCAGAACTGCAGTCCAATCAGCAGCAACATGTATATAAAGCACACGGTATTAAAGAGAACTCGCACAATGGGTTCAAGGAAAGTAATTTACTAATGTGTTCGATGCGGCTCGGTATACGCAACAACTGAGGATATTAGAAGACATGTTTGTCTTAAGTTTTATTGTAAAAATATAGGATATCAACATAATGATAGTTGATTATATTTTTAGCTTCATTGCAAGTGTATGGCATTTGGTATAGAAATAAACAATGGTAATTAAGTGCTTTTCCTAAAAATGAGAAAGAAAATACAGGGTATTAAAACAGTATGAACTACGAATAAAGTCAGTATGTGAGGCTAAATAGATGTGTTTTAGTCTGAATTAGGTAAGATGTGTGCTTCCATTTCAGTTTCCACAAATCCCTTCACTCGATTGGGATGTTCTCTTGTGTTCTGGGTGGCAAGTGCAGTAACTGTAACATCGGGCATATTTTGTAGTATTAAACAAATATTTATACCAACTTCATCAGGCTCCGAAAATTCTTCACAAAGAACACAAAGAATGGCCTTCTCAGCTGCCATAGTTGCAACTCTTGCGTCACCAGAACAGTGCGTTCAACGCATCACCGTTTCTGTTTAAAAAACATTGTGCAACGTTTTGTCGGGATTGAACGCAGCCCTGGCCTAACTGCTTATTGGATTTAAAGGGTGAAATACACACAAAGTAAAATGCAGAAAAGAAAGTCGGATATATTATAATTGTTCCAATAATTAGGCTATAATCATTTAATTGCTGGGCAAAATTACATTGATGTACATGTACATGTACATTTTTTTTTTTTTTTACACACAAATCTCACAAAGGGAACAATAATTTTGATTAGATAAACTCTCAATGTTACAATAAAGATAATTACATCCGATCCCAGGATGGATCAACCACACTTTTTTATTGAATGGATAAAGAGCACAAACAGTAGGCCTATAGCTTTGAAATATTTGTTGTGAGCATTGTTGTACTTATTTGTTGTGATCATAAATCCTCTAAATTATGAATAATAGGTTCACAAATTGGACAGTGGAACGTGGAAGACTGTGGAGGTCACACCCATTGACATTGCAGACAAAGAACAAGTAGCCCCTGGTGTAAGTACCCTGTTCTATTGAGCTGCTGCTCTCAATACAGTTACAAACTCAAATGAATCTTCCTCTTTGAACACCTATTACATATTTAATCACCAGGGTCCCCATGAGCCAAGAAAACCTAGGATTAACAAGAAATTTCACAGGTGTGTTTTCCAGGAAAGGTTGTCAAAACTAATAAATTCTCTATAAAAACTTTGTAGATGATGAAATATTGTAGACTACAATGAAACTTGTTGCAAGCCAGCCAGGGGTGCGTTTCCCGAAAGCATCGTTAGCCAACTATGGTCAAATTGTGATCATAGTTGGATAACGATGCTTTCGGGAAACACACTCCAGCATTAAAACATCAGTCGGTCTGTTGAGCGTAAAAGACATATCAGTTGGCAAATGTTGTCATAACGGTTTCCAGTGGGACACATATCCTTTACTGAGTCACATTCAAATGTCAAGATGTTTTTGTCTTTATTAGTGTTCAAACGTTTTTAATTAGTCTGATAGATAAAGTACTACTATATCGTGTATTATTTACATGTGTGCATTTGGCAGACCTTTTTATTCAAAGCAGCTTATTGCATTGAAGGTATACATTTTTTCAGATCATGTATTCCTTGGGAAACAAACTCATGACACTGACGTTGCTAGCGGGCTGATTTGTAGATTGTTTTTCATATGTCTCATTCGTTTACTATGCAGCAATACAAGTATGACTTTTTAAAGTAAAATTGAGCCTTTTCCAATCTTGTTTTTCCCAATATTTTTTGCACATTCACATAGTCAAGTGCGACAGAGACTATTTATATAGAGACATGCCACTTCCCCAATCCTTAATACAACTATATAGGGAAAACCCGTAACGCCAAAGATGGCGGTTGTATGCACATGCCCCGCCCCTCCCGCTGGAAAGCCAATCGTCTGCTTTTAACAGTCAAGCCGGAAAACATTTAAGCCTATCGTCTGGTTCCACCGACGCATCCGCACAGTTGAGGTTTGCGACAGCGGAAAATATGTTACTGTTTGAAAAGGCGGCAGATGTGGTTCCGGGAGTCTCCCGCAGATTGATAGCGGCTCCCTGATGACCGCAAATTAGTTCAAATCTCCCGGAATCTAGAGCGAGCGAGCAAGAGCGAGCACGACAGAGAGCGAGAGAACCCTTGCGCATGCGCAGTAAAAGTATAACCTGTGGGGAAAAAGGCGTTTTAAACCTTATTTTGGGGCAAAGTCATCACACTTTTTCAGCGATTTTTATCATATTTTATTAGTGTTTGTATACATGCAGTTTTTATGTCCTGGTGACCAGTGAAAGTGCCGTTCTGACTCTCTGCCCATTCATTTAGATAGGAGCCTGGTCTTGTTAGTCCGAAATAGCTGCCCGGAGGCGTTGCCAAGATGGCGGCCGAGTGACATGACTTGCCTAAAAGGACTTTGAGTGCGACTAAATGAATCACCAATTTTGCACCCTTCTGATGAAGTAAAAAATTGTATAAAATAAAAAACATTTTTATTTTGTATTTTTTTTATTTATTACCTTTTCATTACTTTTTGTTTGGTCGCTAACAACCAAAAAAATACCCAAGGTTAAATCCATGTGTGTATTGTGCTCCAAAAAGCCACTTGGTGGTACTGTAGTGATTGGGCCCGTCATCGCTGCTTGCAACTATATTTATTATACTTGTTTCAAGGTTTCAGAGGCTTTGGAAGCCTTTAACATGCTCAAAAACTCATGAAATTTTGCACGTACATCAGAGTCGAAGCAAAAGGTAGCACACGTAAGTGGCAGATAATCTGACATCAGTTTACTGCATGCAAATGTCTTGCAGGATTCTGCAAAGAGCCACAGGGAATTAAAAATGCAAACCACGCCAAAAGCTGTCAAAAATGCTTGTGCTTGAAGCAAGACACTTTTTCTCTTTTTACACACGAGAAGCTTCTGATCTTGGGCCCTATTTTAACGATCGGAAACGCAAGTGTCAAAGCGCAAAGCGCAAGTAACTTTGTGGGCGGATCCCGGCGCTGTTGCTATTTTCCCGGCGGGATAAATGCCTCTTGCGCCTGGCGCAAATCCAAAAGGGGTTGGTCTGAAGTAGCTTCATTATTCATAGGTGTGGTTTGGGCGTAACGTGAAATAAACCAATCAGAGCGTCATCTCACATTCCCTTTAAGAGCAGGCGCGCTTGTTCTAAAGCGGATTCCTATTATAACGGCGGATTTGCCAGGAGCGGTTCAGAGCCGAGGAGAGCAACGTTCTCGTCAGGGCCGTAAAACACAGAGAAGTGACATTGGGGATGGAGAAACCCACCCAAATTAACTTCTGTTAAACAGGCGTATGATAATTTGGGTAAATGTGTAAGCTACATGTTTGCTTTTATAATAAATTGTCTATCTATCTATCTATCTATCTATCTATCTATCTATCTATCTATCTATCTATCTATCTATCTATCTATCTATCTATCTATCTATCTATCTATCTATCTATCTATCTATCTATCTATCTATCTATCTATCTATCTATCTATCTATCTATCGTAATAATGTATGATTTGCAAAAATGAAAACTGCTGCTTAGATGAGAGAATCAAAGTGTATGCGCGTTGTGCACACGCTACATTGATTATGGCCAAGCATGCGCTTATAGCAATAGCATAATGAACAACGCGCAACGCGCCACTGACTTTAGACTAGGTTTTTTCTGGTCAGTGGCGCAATTGTTTTATAGAACAGCAAAATAGCATGAGGGAAAGTTTGCGCCGGAACACGCCTCCTCTTTGCGCTGAACCGCCCCGGGGAGCGCAAGTGTATTTCTTAGTTAACCGACGTGTGTCTGTGGAGGGAAAAGTCCGCTTTGCGGGGGTTCAAAATAGGAATGATACATGCGTCAGTTTACAAAGTCATTTGCGCCGGGTGCAAGATAGGGCCCCTTGTGTTTTCAGTGTCTAGGAACAGCTCAGTCTGCTTTAGTGGTGCTCCACGCAAACGCCATCTCTGCAAGAGCACACCAACCATCATTTCAAATTTGTAAATTATTAATAGTACTGTTGTTGTTGTTGTATAGTCATATTGAATGTGTTCATAAACAAATTAGAGGTGAGTTTTTTCCATACATCTTATTTATCAACTGTAAAGCCACATTTTAAAACTGATAACAAAAATACATTTATGTATATATATATACACATATATATAGTAGAAGCTAAATCTAAAGTAATAAAATGGCATAAAAGAATATATATATATATATATATATATATATATATATATATGTGTTCTTATATATACACATATAAGCTAAATCTAAAGTAATAAAATGGATATTATTTTATGCCATTTTATTACTTTAGATTTAGCTTCTAACTCATTTTATTAAGTAAAGTTAATGACGTATATGAGAAAGCAAGACCAATTTAACAAGGTCTGTGGTTTCAAAAATCATGCGTATAGGATGGAAAATAACTGTAACGTAATGCTCCTCTGGCATTGATTAGCTAGTTAAGAGTGTTTGTGTGAGGGGAAGGAGGGATTATGGTCTAATGAAGCAGTTTTCTCTGGTGTCCTGGCTGTCCGTGTCTTTGGGCCCTATCAGACTCTGGCCTCAGGCATGGCTGCAGGCGTTGTGCTGAGAACCGTGACTTGGGTTCGAGTAATTAAGGGCTTATATAGCCTGGCACACAAACAAACCTCTGCTTTACATGAATTCACACCAAGCATTGTTACCGTATCATCACGCTTTGGCCTCCAGACAGCACACTTGGTATTAAACAGCTCGGTTTGTTCTCAGTGTGACAGTGGTGTGTGTGTGTTTGTGTGCGCACACACACAAGCCCTCAATGCTTGTTTGCCTCTCTAACTGTACAGAAACTGAGAGGTTGTTATTTTGCCGGAGGCGTATCATGATTTATTTACAATTGCGAGGCCCTGGAGGTCCAGTTAAAATTAAATGCTTTTCGTCCATTTATTTTCACCAGCAGCTGTTTTTCTCACCATCTCTCCCAGTTTCCACCCTCTCTGGTTTATTAAGTCTATTATTTTTTTGTTCCGTGTTTTTTCTTCTTCTTAACCTCTCCTTACCTCACTGCATCTCTCCTTGAAAACTTTTTAATGACTTGGGCTCTATTAGGCATAACCTAAGTCTATAAGGGTGTATCTGACTCAAGTTTTGACATATACTGTATTCCCTGATGATCTGCTTATTAAGGGTTTAAATTTGGCAGTTTCGAAGTGTAAATAAGCTCTTCAAAAAAAAAAAAGTGCAGCAGCTTTCCAAATGTTATATTGGTTAAGAATGTGAGTATCCACAAAATGAAGGTTTATTCACTGATTATGATGAGCAAGTCTAATTCACAAAATTTGAGTATACAGTATACATTACATTTCAAACTAAGGTTGATTTTTATCTGTTAATATGCAGGACTATAAGGTAGATGAGGATCCAGCTATTTTTAAGTCAGTCAAGACCGGCAGAGGACCACTGGGACACAATTGGATGGTAGGGACCCTTTTTCTCACCCTTCATTAAACCCATATTACTTTTTCATCAATGGAATTAAACATTTTGAAGATTTTTTTTTCCCCCCAAGCAGTTACAATGAATGAATACCAGAGCGTTTAAACCATCATATAAACCAGATGCTCTATTTGACTCATGTACTATATACTAAAAGTCATTCAATATTTAAGTGTGAGGACTGAAGGTTATGTTGTTATTTACTGATAATTTTCCCTTCTTGTGGCCTGGTAATCTCTGCATCTGGATGGATTTAGCAAACTAAACTCAACAACCAGGGCTGCGATTCCCCAAATCATCATGAGCTAAGTTGATCGTAGAGACCATTGGTGGAGATGGTTCTATGATGTACTTCGAAATTATGTTATAGAAGAACCATTTTGGCTTCCCGTAAAAGCCTTTTAGCGAACAGTTCTTAAAAGAATCATGTTGTTTTTGGTTTGAAGAACATTATACTAATATAAAGAGCCTTTTTTTTGCAATGGAAAGGCTCCAAGGCGGTTTAAAGTTCTACGGGGAACTGTCAATGCCAATAAAGAACTAACTAATGTTTTCAACTGTAAAATCAAACATTTAAACCAGGCAGGGTTAACCTTACAGTAGCTCTCAACACTGATTACTGTCAGACTTTCAAAATCCTTTATCACTTGAAATAAGATAATTTAGGGTAACACTGTCCTTGTTACATATGTTACACGTACTTACCATAGTAATAACAGTAAATTATGCATAATTAAATGCAACTAACCATTAACCAAACCCTAATCCTACCCTAACCCTATAGTAAGTACATGTTGTTAATCTTCTGAGGTTAAATACAGATTTAAATTCATATGACAGGAAACACAACAATGCCTTGCAAAAAACAGTTAATCTTAATAAAGCATATCATAAACAAATAGGAAATAAAACAGTTATCAAATAAGCATGTGGCCTATTCTGTGTCCTAAACTCCTGAAACAAGTGTCTCATATTTTAGAGCAGTCTGTGCAATTTGGGAATAAATTAAATGTGTGTGTGTGTGTGTGTGTGTGTGTGTGTGTCTGTGTGATTAAATTAATATTATTCAACATATCCTAGCTTTTTACAGAAAATATTCAGATGTAATCCCTTTGCAATCGTTAACATTTTCAATGAATAATTACAATTGAATTACACATTTTTTCTCAGTAACTGTAACGGATTACAGTTACATTTATGTACATGCACACACACACACACACACACACACACAGAGCCGGCCCTAGACCTTTGGGGGCCCTAAGCAAAATTTGGTTGGAGGCCCCTTTGACCGTTTTAAGGCCTAAAGAAAAGCAATGACTACCTGTTACGATGTGGTTGAAACAAGGAAGTAGCAGGATCCACTTGCAGCACAATTTATTAAACAAACTCCAAACTGGACAAGGACTCAGACAGGAAACAGGACTCAGGAACAGAACAACCAGCATCAACGTTACAACAACATTACAAGAACTCACAAAGACTGGACTGAAACACAGGGCTAAAATACAGGGGCAAACGATCTAAACAGGATAACAAGGGGGCGTGGTTAACGGGAAACACCTGGGAAGACTAATAGACAGACAGGGAACCACTAAACATGACAAGAAAAACCCACACCGTGACATAGCCCCCTCCCTATGGGCGGCTCCTGACGCCCATAAAACACCAAAAAGTTCAGGAGGGCGGAGAAGCGGAGGCGGACTTGGGGGAGGGATGGAGGGCCAGGTCCGCGCAGGGAACGGGACCAGGGCCTTGCAATGACGGGCATGGGCCATGGAATGTGGGCGGACCTGGGCCATGGAACGTGGGTGGAGCTGGACGTGCAGGTGGCCGTGGGCGTGTCCATGACAGAGCAGGCAGAGGGCGTGGCCACGGCGGAGCAGGCTGTGGGCGTGGCCACGACGGAGCAGGCTGAGGGCGTGGCCACGGCGGAGCAGGCTGTGGGCGTGTCCACGACAGAGCAGGCTGAGGGCGTGGCCACGGCGGAGCAGGCTGAGGGCGTGACCAGGGCGGAGCAGGCTGAGGGCCCTCGGGCGTCCAGGGCGGTGCTGTCGGACCCTCGGGCGGCCACGGCGGTGAAGACCCCTCGGGCGGCCACGGCGGTGAAGACCCCTCGGGGGGCCACGGCGGAGAAGACCCCTCGGGCGGCCACGGCGGAGAAGACCCCTCGGGCAGCCACGGCGGAGAAGACCCCTCGGGCGGCCACGGCGGAGAAGACCCCTCGGGCGGCCACGGCGGAGAAGACCCTTTCGGGCGGCCACGGCGGAGAAGACCCCTCGGGCGGCCACGGCGGAGAAGACCCTTCGGGCGGCCACGGCGGAGAAGCCCCCTCGGGTGGCCATGGTGGAGAGGACCCTTCGGCCGGCCATGGCGGTGCGGCCTTCACAGTCCCATCCAGGGTCCTACGGCCCCCCCCCAAAATTTTCTTAGGTGCAGCCATGGGGTCATCAGCAGGAACAGACACCGGCGCAGGATCAGCGGGCTCTGGCGCAGGATCAGCGGGCTCTGGCGCAGGATCAGCGGGCTCTGGCGCAGGATCAGCGGGCTCTGGCGCAGGATCAGCGGGCCCTGGCGCAGGATCAGCGGGCCCTGGCGCAGGATCAGCGGGCCCTGGCGCAGGATCAGCGGGCCCTGGCGCAGGATCAGCGGGCCCTGGCGCAGGATCAGCGGGCCCTGGCGCAGGATCAGCGGGCTCTGGCGCAGGATCAGCGGGCTCTGGCGCAAGTGTGTGCGCAGCCCACACACACCACATGGCTGTGGCCATAATGGCCATTGTTGCGGTCACTGAGGGCTCAGGCGGCGCATGCGTCGGGTGAACAGTCTCTGGCTGGGAAGACGTGACGTGAACGGTCTCTAGCTGGGCAGACGTGACGCGAACAGTCTCTGGCTGGGCAGACGGGACGTGTACAATCTCTGGCTGGGCAGACGGGACGAGAACAGTCTCTGACGGGCAGGTGACTGGTTCAGGCCTTGGCGAGCAGGCGACGGCCTCGGGACTGGACGAGACCAGTGGCTGGACGGGCTCTGGCTGGACGGGCTCTGGCAGGACGGGCTCTGGCTGGACTGGCTCTGGCTGGACGTGGCTGACGTGAAGCTCTGGCTGGACGTGGCTGACGTGAACTGTTCTCAGGGGGTACTGTGAGCTTGCGGGGTGTTTCATCGGCCAAGCCCACAGTAAAAGCTGAACCGCTCAAGTAAAGGGCCAGGTCAATATAGCCCTCTAGGGTCCAGCCGGTATAGTCATCTGGCATCAGCCTGGCGATATCCACATCCAGCCCGCTCCAGAACAGGTCCATGAGCTCAGCGTCTTCAAAAGATCCCAGATGGCAGCAATTCAAAAAGTCCCTCACGTACCTCTCGATCGGCTGGCCATCTTGAAACATTGAGGCAAGAAATCTTCTTAGCGCCTGGTTGCTGACTGCTGCTGGATCCATTGTGTGGTGAGTTCTTCTGTTACGATGTGGTTGAAACAAGGAAGTAGCAGGATCCACTTGCAGCACAATTTATTAAACAAACTCCAAACTGGACAAGGACTCAGACAGGGAACAGGACTCAGGAACAGAACAACCAGCATCAACGTTACAACAACATTACAAGAACTCACAAAGACTGGACTGAAACACAGGGCTAAAATACAGGGGCAAACGATCTAAACAGGATAACAAGGGGGCGTGGTTAACGGGAAACACCTGGGAAGACTAATAGACAGACAGGGAACCACTAAACATGACAAGACAAACCCACACCGTGACACTACCTTATAACTATACCATACAACTATATTATACTGTATATACTATGTTTGATGTCTAACAAGAAAATCATGATACCACTGAGCTGAATGGCAGTGCAAGACACACACACACACACACACTGATTAACTTATAATGTCTGATGTCGGGTTAGGCCTACACAAAGCAAATCATCTACAAAATTATTTAGTTTTCCTATTTAATGACCGACAATTTAGTTGTAATAATAATTTTGCCATAAGGCTGATTAGCGTTAGGCTATATAGCCTGAAAGGTCTGATTTAGCCTACACACTGTTACAACAGTAACACATTTTTTTTTCACAATGACATTTGAGTTCATGATTTTAATGGGTTTTTTTTTTTGGCAGACTAAAGACTAATGACAGACTTTGATCTTTGAATTAAAAAATATGTTTGGTTCAGGTTTGAAATTCATTATCTTTTAATGTAGTCTAATACTACCCCCCAAATCCCTACAGCATAGTTGTTATACAGATCGCTATACATATTGCATTTGATTTGATTACTTTTTTACATTTCTGTCAAATATTAACCATTTTCAAATAAACGGGGTAGTGTTAACCTTATTCAGCACTGAAATCTGTCAAACTTCTTTCAAAGTCCTTCATCACATATTAATATTAAAATAACTTAATTTCAGAGCACCACAAAGTCAGACCTCAGCACCTTTATGTAGGCTACCTTTAATGTAAGATCGTTCTTAGGTCACATACCAATTTAAAATCATAACATAAAAACTGCAATGGTACTGTTTTTAAAATCATGTGTAGTAGGCCTAAGTGTACAGTAAGTGTGTGTGTGTAAACATGCTTTAATGAAGTAGACTTCAAAAGCTTTTGAATTTGAGCTTACAGTTCTTTCATCAACCTGTCTTTTACATAAACTTACAAAATAGATACTTTAACTTAGTCCTCAGAATCAGATAGAGGTGTTGCTGCTAGCTCCGTTAAGGTATTTCTGTCCCTCCCAAACTGCATTGAAATGGTATGTTTAGCAGCCAGAATTTAAAAATTTTCAGGGGGAGAAACCCCCTGACCCCTCCTAACATGATCCATATCACCCGTCAGAAAACAATTGCAACCAGAATTTTGGCTTGCATGACGCCCCTGCGCCACACTCCCGATTTCACACGCTGAAGTGTCAACCCGGTCGGTCAAATGCCTGAAAGATGAGTTTATCTATAGATCTACCTGTTGAGCCACTCGTGATCGACTAATTATACCGCAAAATAGTTAAAATCTCCCGTAATCTAGAGCGAGCGCGCACGCGAGACAGAGATTGTGCTTCAAACCGCGTAGCGCGCGCGTGACATCATAGGGGCAGTCGGGATCGAGACGCGCGCGCGCCTTCGCGGGGAGCTCCCGATTGATTTGCCATAATACAGAACTAAATAAATAACAACTCTGTGCTTATCATGATGCCTGATAAAGAGCGCTGTAGGTCCATTTCTTTTTATTTATTTCTTTTATGTTACTTTTGTTGTGCGATTTCCCCCCCCTCCCCCCACTAGCTAGCAGTGACTCTAGGGGGCCCTCTGCTGGCCACGGGGCCCTTTGCAATTGCAACGGTCGCTTAGTGGCTCGGCCGGCCACTAAGCGCACACACACACACACACACACACACACAGCAGGGAGAGATGGGCTGAATGTCAAGGTTTTCAGTGAATAATGATTTCAGTCTGTTTTTTATGGGTTTTTGTCCTGGCCTTGTGAATTTAAACAGCAGCACTATCTCAAAAGATACAATCTAAAATAATATTTCAGTAAACATGTACAGTGCTATTTCTACAATGACCTCTGAGTAAGTTACCTCTGAGTGTATTAGTGGAAGTGTTTCGCAGTTAAGAGCTAATGAAGATGAATCACTCCGCTTTGATGGACCGTAAAAGGCATCACAATGATTGGCACAAACTAAGACATGTGCGTGTCCACATGAATATGAATTAGAGATGTCTTCATTTGTGTGTATTGAAGACTAGATTAACCTTCCTAAGGCTTGTTAGATTGTGGCGCACCTAAAATGTGTTTTTGCCGATTATTCTGGAGATCTTCTAAGAAAAGCATCTGCATAATGTAGCCATACTGTAATTATTTGATTTTAGGACCTCTGTACTGTATTAGTGTTTTACGTTAAGATTTAATTTCTGCATGGTCGACATAGCTTCATTCATTTATGTTTGAAACCTCACAGAACGAACTGGTTAATAACCCTGACTGCCCACGAATGTGTGCTTACAAGCTTGTCACGGTCAAGTTTAAGTGGTGGGGCCTGCAGAACAGGATAGAAAGCTTCCTTCACAAGGTAAGATCTCCAGAAATGCATTAACTCATATATATATATATATATATATATATATATATATATATATATATATATATATTAGAAGTGGTTTTAATTTAACTCCACCTAAAGTGAATTTTTATTGTTTATTAGGAATAAAACTGCCGAATTTCACCTTCATCGTTTGATATATGTGTTATAAGTGATTTGGTTACATTTTATTTTAAGGTGACGTCGTTACATTACTTACTCTGAGTAATATTAATTAGGCCTACATGGACTTACTATGGAGTTATGGTTAGGGTTTGGTTTAGGGTTAGTTACTTGTAATTATGCATAATTTACTGTTATTACTATAGTAAGTACATGTAAGTACACGTCACCTTAAAATAAAGTGTTTGCCAATAATTTTAACATTTTAATGTTGAGATTCCTACTTAATATTTTGCTATGTAATTAGAGCAAGTGTAATTCCATCCTGTAAATGTTCTGTGTGTCTGGATTGGGTTATAATTCTGTGGAATGGTTTGTGATTTATGTGCTTTGTTTTTGGGTCATTTACTAAGCAAGAGAAGAGAATCTTCACCAACTTCCACCGGCAGCTGTTCTGCTGGATTGATAAGTGGGTAGAGCTCAACATGGAGGACATCAGACGGATGGAAGAGGAGACACAGAAAGAGCTGGAGGAGGTGCGTACACTCATACACATTTCACAGATTGTGCTGAATCTGTAGTCAAACCCCAACTTAGCTGTCAGGAAGAAAAGCACTTGTTAGTGTGCAATCTGCAAACTGTTTACACTAAGCTTAGTGACCCTTGGCTTTGAATCCATAGTGTTGGGGAAAGTTACTTTTAAAAGTAATGCATTACAATATTTCGTTACTCCCCCAAAAAGTAACTAATTGCGTTACTTAGTTACCTTTTATGAAAAGTAATGCGTTACGTTACTTTTTCTCACCTGGGCTGGGCTAGGCTTGTTTGTTTTTTAATAACAACAAAAAAGTTATATTTTTGGCAAATCTTAAGGCCCTTTCCCACCAGAAGTGAAGTGAATAAGCCTCAGGCTGAAGGAAATGCAAATTTACTCCTGTACAATAGAGGGCGCCGCTCAAACAAACCTTTCAGCCAATAGGATACAGGAGAAGAAAGTTCAACACTCTTATTTCTAAATCTAATCTAAAGTCACTTTTGCTTATAAGTATGGTTGAATTAGATCATTGAAGGTCCGCAGCAAAGGCATTGGTTAATAAAGTGAGATTAAATACATAAAGTATTTGTGCAATTTAATATAGTTAATTATAAAAGTTTTGCGTAAAGGTTTTACGTAAAAACATTTTACTCATTTTATTCATTTTTGAGGAATACTGAATGTTTTCGTGCAAGTGAGATGAATAAATGGATGTTCACGTTTAGTCTAGAACTAAAATAGCCTAACCATCATGTTTACACACACACACACACACACACCTCCTCACTTTAATTCTCTCAACGTGAGGACAGGAGAGCTGTCAGTCAAATAAATGTGAAAACGTAACTTAGATATTTTGTTGTAAATTGAAAAAGTAATGCTTACTTTACTAGTTACTTGAAAAAGTAATCTGATTACGTAACTCAAGTTACTTGTAATGACAACACTGCGTATGACGCTAGTAAAAAGGCAGATTTTGTGCACTGGCCTGTAATCGTTTGCCTAGAGACCACCCACCACCATACAGTGTGAATCCAGACAGAACAAAAATATCATTGTCTCATGGCGCTTCCAATCCTAGAGTGCTTGCAGATTTTCTTTGGAGTGCAGTCCAAATACAGTTCTTCTGCCATCCACTGACGAATAATGGCTAGAAGAAAGCAGAGGGGAGAGGGAAAGAAAATAATTTGGAAACAAAGGATGCGATGAAATTGAGCAGATGGAGGCATTTGGAGATGTCCAAATAATTGACCGACTCTGTTTTGAATTTCAGATTAGTTAATATTCCGATATATTTAGCAAATTCATTTATTTATTCAAATTTATGTATGCAGTGTTTATAAAAGGATTCAGAACAATGTATTGTTGGGTCATTCTAAAATTGATGGCACATGCTGTCACTCGCTTTAAAAATGGCAACAAAGTTAAACAATGTACACAATTCCTTTAGAATCTATTTGTTTTAAAACTATGTAGGAAAACTATATATGATCTTATTAAAATTTACAATTATATCTCGAAAGTCTCCTACCTATTCCACATAATGAAGAAGCCTATTAAATACGTTTGTAAGAGGTGTGTGTGTAGACGTTGATCAGCATTTATGTCCATCTGAAGGTTTCACAGACATAAATAACATTCATATATAAGCACAATTACATATTTCAGATTACTTCAAAGTGGCCTAAACTATGCATATCTTTCAATGATGTTACATTATGTAATTTACTGTCAGATGTAGCGACTAACTCTAGAATATTTATAAAAAATTAATAAAAAAAAAACGTATCTGGGTTGCTCTTCCCAAAGGCATCGTTAGCCAACTATGGTTGCAAATTCATTTGTTACCAGGATAGTTAAAAAATTCTGTTTCCCGAAACCATAGTTCCAACAAACATTCGCAAACCGCATCGCAGAGTTGTGTGATTTGAACTACAGCTCTGGACTTGTGGTTAGAAGCATAGGGCCAGATTTACTAACAGCTTGCTCCAGCGCAAACCCTGTTTTGGCGTTAAAAAATCTACTGTCAGGATTTACTAAAGACAAGCAGTGAAAAATGTGAGTTCTCTTTTCAAAGAGTTTCTCTTTCAGACGCAACATTTTTAGATTGCATTGGTCATTAGGGAAATTATCCGGCTGTGTTCTTTAATTTGAGCAATGGTAGCTTTTTTGGAATTGCGCTCTCACGATAAGTTGCCCTGTTTCGTAAATCTGGCCCATAGTTTCTTGTTAGTATGATGTCAATATATAGATCATGCTCTTGAGAAATAAAATAATTAAAGTGCTTTAATTTAAAATTAAATTAAACTGAGGTAAGGGGGAATTTGCCATTGATTGAAACATCTGGAAATAAAGCAAAACAACGGAGAACAAAAATAGCAAATTGGTCTTCAGATGCCATGTTCGATATTTACAGTCAGCAATAATCTGACATTAATTCAATCTAGAATGGATTATTTAGTTGACGTTTTTACTCCACCACCTGTGTGACGTCTTTATATTGTTGAGCCAACGTGGTTTGAACGACGGATGTGCGACAAAGTTGTGGTTTCGGGAAACAGTTGTGACTAGCTAGTTGGTTTCTCCAACAGTGGTGATTAAGAAGCGAGTCCTGTCGTATGCAAAATGCACCCCTGATTGGATGTTATAATCTTTGAAAAGCTTTCACGAGTTCACACTTACATATAATTTGAGGAAATAAGATTTAATGCGTATTTGGCGTGCTGTCCGGAGGGAGGGCTCCAAGCTCGGAATTCAGCCCGAACCCAGAGTACTCCCCCATATGTAAGTGATTTTTGAACTAGGAGTGTGGAGAACTAGGAGTGTGGAGAAGGGGTGGAGGGGGAATACTGCAAACTGTCAATGGATCGAGGTAAGACTGTTGAGTCTATATGTACCTTTTATCATTGATTGCTGATTGCTGTCCACTCGTGTTAATTATCTGAACGTGCTCCTCCCGAACTTAGTTAATAAAACTTCATATAATTCTATTTGTGCGTCCAATATGCATCAGATGGTCTGTGAATAGGTGATTGTGTGTTATTAACCACTGTTAGGCCGGATTCACATATAGCGCTGGGCGCGCCGCATTCTCCTTTTTCCAAAGCGCTAGGGCGGTTGCGCTCCGGTTGGTTCTTGTCACGTGACCTATACTGTGCGCTTAAGGTGCGCTTGCTGCACGATGAAAAGTTGAGATGTTTTTATCTCGATGCGGCGCGAACGCGCTTGGAAAAAACGAGCGCGTCGCTTCCATTATGAGCGCGCATACCGCGTGCGCCGACATTTAAAATAACGAACTTGAGCGCGCAAAAGACGCGATATGTGAGCAGGCCCTTAAAGGGTTACTTCACCCAAAAATTTAAATTCTGTCATCATTTACTCACCCTCATGTCATCTTTTTGATGAAATCGGAGAGATTTCTGTCCCTCCATTGACTGCTACGCAACTACCACTTTGATGCTTCAAAAAGATCATAAAGAGATTGTAAAACTAATCCACATGAATCAATCAGGGGTGCGTTTCTCGTAAAATTACGTAACTCACTGTTTAACTACCATAGTATGATGCATACCTAGTTACAAAGAGTTAAACAGTTTGGATTGACCTGGGACCTATACCATGAAGCTGGTTTAGGTGGCTAGCCAGGTATGATTCAGTTTAGTTTGCACCAACCCTGTTTTTTAGGCACCATGGAAGTTCATAGCTTCACTGCTAACATATACTGTGTAAAAGATGTCAAACCGAAATTGGACCAATCAGCTGTGAGCAAAGTGACACATGTCTGATGCAATACAGTCACTCCCCCAGTTTCTCTTACTCCAAATTAAAGCTTACTACATAGTAACCGATTTTTAAAGACAATTTGTCGGGCTATAGGGATGATTATTTATTATAATTATTTTATATTTAATATAATTATTACACCCCTATTCTATTACACATGAGCAAATTGAGTTTAACAATTATTATTAAACATTTAGTTTAAATGAATATATACAGATAATATGTAATATATAATACGATTTGGAATCAGTAGCTTATCAACTTTTCTTCTTGTTGTGTAAATCCATTTATGTTCTTCATATTCTTCAATCTCTTAACTTTTCCCCCCGTTTTATTCTAGCTTTATGCATTCCTTTTTTTTTATCAACACTTGAATGTGGGTTTCAACATTTTGAGCAAAAAGCTGAGAATTTTTTTTTTTTTTGTCAAATACTACATTTGGATCAGATTCAGAACGAGCTTCACAGTCCTATAAATCATCCTGGGTCGAAATTTCATTCTGTAACATTAAGCATTTTTGATTTAAATGCTGTTTAATATTGATGATCCCATTATTTTACATATGCATCTGCATACATGAGATATTGTTTGTTTCTGCTTCTTTTTTGTCTGTGTTTTGATCAGGAGATTCTGTACTCTTTCAGAAGATGCATAATAGCGCTCCCTACCGTATAAAGCCGGAAATTTGGGTGAAAGAGTTAATCTTTGGCAGAAGATAGAAATGAATGTTGCTGATTCTCGCGCGAGAATTGAATTGCAGTTTCTTTATGTTTCAAGGTGTAACCGGTCCTACTGCCCCGTCCCGAGCGGGATTCGAACTGTAGTCTTGAGATCAGGGGAGTGAGGTTTACACACAAAGCTCTTACTGGCCTAGGACAGTTACACTCACCCTCCTAAACCTCTCTCCCATCCGGGTCACGGCACCAAATTTAACCAGTCCTACCCAGCTCCGAATGGTGTGGGAGGCGGGCGCTCTAACAAGGAGGCTAAAGACCGCAGCCGCTAGCGTCAGTCGCTAGAGTGCCTTTTGAGATCAGGGGAGTGAGGTTTACATGCACAGATCTTACTGGCCTACGTCAGTTACAAAGATATGCGATTTCACAACTGATGTCACACTTTCATGAGCACATGCTCTATGAACTCAGGATCAAAGTTGACAGAGAAAGTTGATGATCAGCGTCATGGTACAAACAAAGCCTGATTGAATTGGTTTGGTTTCGTCAATTTGAAACTAATGCCGTAACCCTTTTTCAAGAGTTTATTCAACTACCGTCATGATTTAGGCCCCTGAGGAGACCAGCCCCCAAATTCTATACTTTTACAAGGGGAAATAAAACATGGGGTAATAGTTTTTTGATTTTGTCCCTTTTCAAGTTCAAAGCAATCCTCCCACGAACACGCAGTACAATTATTTTGGTGAGAAGGAATTTCTATATAAACAAATGCTAGTTTGATGTAATAATAATGTTATGATATGTCTGATAATAATGTAGACATTCAAATATTATTCTATGTTAAATGTAAGCATGGCTTTTGGCAGAGGAGTTGCCAAAGAATATTTATTCATTTATTCAGTCAGTCAAATCAAGCGGTCTAAAATAAAACATGTGTTGTGTTGTGAGCACAGTGGGACATTTCCTATCAGAAATTAATCTAGGATGCGTAAAGGATTTTTTGACAAATGTTTAAGAATTCTTGCATTAAGTCACCAAAACAGATTAATGAGGAACAAAATCACAATGGCTCCATGGCACATTGTCACTAATATGCAAGTCAAAGAAAATGATTAAATAATGCAACTGTCCTTCCGACAAAATATTTTTAATCAAAACAATAACGGCAAAGTACAGTTTCATGGCCAGCAAGACATATTTATGCCGAGTGGATTTTTCCAATTCACTCTGCATTGGCAATAAATAAATACAATTTGTATATAATACTTCACTTCACATGTTTAATCTTGCAATTAGTTTATCACAGTGGAAATGTATCTGTAGCCTGCTTTCAACAAGAGTCTCACCCATATCAAATAATAGAATTTCTTTAGAGAGCATTTTTGCCGTCTGGAGAGGGTCAATGGATACAAGGTAGAATATCTGGTCCGTTGCCTGGGAAAGAAATGTCTGTTATTGACTAACAGTGACTCTGTCCAACCTCTGACAAATCTCTCTGACTGTGTGACATACTAACAGCCTCTGTCTGTGGTTTTCTGGGGCTCTAACAGTCTGTGTGCGCTTGATGTGTGTTGAGCATGGACGGCATGCTTCAACTTCCTTGAGGGCTCATTAACATACAAATGGATTTCTGCGCTTGAAAAGCACCTGTGCCATGATTCCAAATGAGGAATGGACGGTTTAGTTCCCACTGCTTTATTTTAAAGTGATATTAACGCCTGTCTGTTTAAGAATTCTTACTGAGCTCCACCAATTTCAGCCACTAATTGGCTTTGTCACGACTTGAGCTCAATGTCCTGAGACCTGAACTCAAGTCTGTTCTTCCTATACGTCATTTACACAGAAATACACAGGGCGAAAAAGTCTCTTATGCTCATTAAAGCTGCATGCATTTGATCAGAAATACAGTAAAACAGTAATATTGTGAAATATTATTACAATGTAGGGGGACTGCTTTGTATTTTAATATGTTTAAAATGTAATTTATTCCTGTGATCAAAGCTGAATTTTCAGCATCATTACTTCAGTCTTCAGTGTCACATGATCCATCAGAAATCATTTTAATATGCTTATTTGGTGCTCAAGAAACATTTCTGATTAATATCAATGTTGAAAACAGGTATGCTGAATTTTTAATTTTATTTTATTTTTTATTTTTTTGGGGGAAACTGTGATACAATACTATTGAAAAGTTTGGGCTAAATAGCCTATGATTGAAAAAAAAAATAAGAAAGAAATTAATACTTTTATTCATCAAGGATGCATTAAATTGACAAAAAGTAAAGAGATTTATTAATGTTACAAATGATTTTCATTTCAAATAAATGCTGTTAAAAAATTAGTGCTGGGCGATTAATCGCATCCCAAATAAAAGTTTGTGTTTACATAATATATGTGTGTGTACTGTGTATAATTATTTTTACACACACATGCATGTATAAATTTAAGATTTTTATTTATTTATATATAAATATTTATATATAATATAAATTATGTATATACATATATATACAATATATGCAAATATTTCTTAAATATATACATACACGTGTGTGTATTTATATATACTAAATAATTATACAGTACACACACATATATTATGTAAACACACACTTTCCCAAAAATATAAAGCTGCAAAATCTGTTTTCAACATTGATGATAAGAATTATTAAAAATTGTAATGATTGACCACCAAATCATCATATTAGAATGATTTATGAAAGATCATGTGCCATTGAAGTCTGGAGAATGCTGAGAAGTTAGGAATAAATTACTTTTTAACATATATTCTTTTAAATTGTAGTAATATTTCACAATACTGTTTTTGTGCACTCTAAAAAATGCTGGGTAGTTTCAACCCATGTTTAGGTCAAATTTTCAAATCCAAAGGTTGTGTTTGTCCATATTTGACCAAAACATGGGTTAGAACAACTCAGCATTTTTTAGAGTGCGATCAAATAAATGCAGCCTTGCTGAGCATATAACTTCTTTCAAAAACATTGAAAATCATAATTATTCCGCAACATTTTGATAAGTAATATACTGTATATGTTAAAGTTTTTTTACTCTGTCCAAACACAAACATCTCTTTCTGCAATTTCTTTTTTTTAGCTTCGCAAGCAAGGTCAAGTGCGAGGAACCAGTGCTGCTGATGAATGAGACCAACCACGACCACCGCTTTCCTCAAGAGGAGAGACCACATCGGCCTGGCCAAATCACACCAGTGGAACCAATCCCATTAAATTTACTCAGTCAGGAGCTCTACATTTAGATTCGTTACTGATATTTTAGATATAAACCTCTCTTCCCCACAGTGCCTTTATCACAAATGCTGAAGAATTTTTTTTTTTCTTGTTCATTCACTTGCTCAGTTTTCCAGACGTTTCCCTCAGGGCAGGGCCAGGCTTTACATTTCACTTCCTTCACTCTTGTCTTGTCCTGCCTGGGCTTTATTAAGAACAAACTTTGGGAACATACCATTTGCAAACACTTTTCGCTCCAAAAATCACAATTGTACAAGCATATATATGCACACAGATGCGCAAACACTCCCAGGTGTGAATTCCTGTGTGGTGATTTCCCACAAGGCCTTTTAAGGGTGAAGATTGCTTTCAGTGCGTTTAATCGCATGCTTCTTTTCAAAATCTCTTATAACAATAGCCTTTATGGAATATTGCAGGTAGTGCTCAAAGTGCTCGAAGATTATGTGCTATGTAGTCTCAGCCTCAGACGTCACGCCCACGGAACGTTGGCTAAACGTCTGATGCATATGGTACACTTAACTGGAAACACTTCAGGAATGTCGAAGTCGTCATCTGATTGGTTGAATTTTATCGGATTTCCGGGGGGCGCGAGTGTCACGTTTATTTTCGGTCCGCCGGGAAACAAAGCGTAGACGTGTGATTGCGGACGAAAAACTGTTGTGTTTACATGAGTGACAATGAGCATTTATCAAGATCAGCTAAACGTAGGATTCTCAAAAGTATGCGAGGTTCACGGCACTCTTTAAGAGATGTCCAGGAGGTTTTTTTTGAGGCACTTAGTGGAGACAAAAAGAGATATTTTAGCCTGTTTGCGGGATTTGGGAAGAGTATTATTTTCCAAGCCTGGCCGACCCTTTGTCAGCATTTAGAAGGATTCCCAGCAGATCCAATTTTACAAGTTGTGAGTGTGTCCCCTCCTATCTATTATGGAAGATCAAGTGAAGTACCTAACTGCGAAGGGGATATCAGCCGCGTTTGCGGGCAAACATGAAACAACAGACGCTGACATCGCAGCTGGCCGATTCAGTATTGTGTTCGGTTCTCCAGAATTGCTTGTGGGTGTTAAAAAGTGGAGAGATATGCTTCAAACAGATGTTTACCGCGAGCGTCTCATCGGTATGGCTGTTGATGAAGTGCACGCCATTGTTGTTATACATGCACGAACAGATCAATGACTTACTGCTTGTTTTCTTCTCCTTCTTTGATTTTCTATGCTGACTGACTTGTTGCACGCCGGTCTGTTGTTGTGGGGACATTTCCACGCCCCGAAACGTGACGCTGAACGAAACGATATGTAATTGGTTGTTTTACATGTCGGTCAAACGGCCTTATGGGCGGGCCTTGGCCAAAGAAAGCTGCTATGAATTCCAGACCTTCAGCCGTCAGTCTGAAGGTCTGGCTACGCGAGACTATGTGCTATGCTAAAGAAAAGGATCAACCAAAAATGAACATTTTTGTCATTGGAAAGATGTTTTTTTTTGTTTTGTTTTTTAGGGGGCTGTATTACATCAGCCTGTTCTCACGTAAATGCGTCTTCATAGCACACATTGTGTATTATCGTGCAATTTATACGCGAAAATTAGTTTTTACGTGCATATGATACGCAGTTTTCGCGTGCATTTGATACGCAGTTCATTTGCGTGTAATACACACGCACCCCACACTAATTCTACCCAAACGTATAATACACACGCACCCCACACCACTACTAAACCTACCCTAACCAACCCATGCGTATCCTATGCACGTAAAAACTCATTTTCGCGTATAAATTACACGATAAACACACTGCGTGCTATAGAGACGCATTTTGTGTGATCGGGTTGATTACATGAATGTTATTAAAGACCCAGTGTTACAGTACATTTGTCAAGGTACTCTCACACTGTTTCCAGGATATTAACCTTTGAATATGTTCCTCCACACTTGTACTGACTAGTCCTGCCTTACTTTTCCATGTGCTCTATGTGTCCCTTCGTACCATTTTACGTCATTGAAAACTGTTGCCTTAAACTAGTCAATTTTCAACTAGCAAAAAAAAAAAACTGTTTGTGTAATGTAATGGTCGTATATCATATTTTTTATAATATTCTGAAATGTGTTTCATGGGTGGCATTTTAGCATCTTTTGATAAATTTGATGTTGTAGAATACATAAGCAGTATTTTTAAGCTTGTGTAACAGCATAAATGTGTTGAATCAAACCATGAAATCCTCCTTCTAAAAACTGTCTACAGAGTTTAACTTCCTAATGCTAGAGCTCTGCAATATTTTGTGTTTACAAACTGCATTGAAATGTAGTTGAATTTTGTTATGAAGATTAATTGACTTTCACAGGGGCACCTTTAATAACAATTCCTGCCTATGTGATGGTTATATTTCAATTTCTCAAGCACTTGCTGTCAAATATGCCTGCTTGGATAATCGTTTCTCTGCTTGTTGATGTTTTTTACATTCCTACTGGTCAGAGAACAAGCAGTAACGTTTCACTCTCACAAACTCTGAGGACTGTATTTCCTGACTTCAGACAAATGTGTTATCAGCGTAAAAGAAAGAAAGAAAGTGTATTGGGACTGGTTATAGACAATATCAAATCAAGTGTTTAATTCGAATTTAGGAAATCTACTTTTAATGCTTTTAGGGATAAAACAAAAAGTGATTTTAAATGCATGTGTGTAAATGCATCTGAAATAAAAAATAGTGAGAATGTTCTTTTTGTGTGTGTTTGAACATTAAAATACAGTTGATAAAATTCCCGCCTAATTTTGCCTTGTCTCATTTGTCATTTTTGTGAAGCCAAGCATTACAATTACTGCTCACACACAGAGTTACAGACTTTAACAAACCACACAACCAAAGCTATAGTTTAGAAGATGTCTGGAGCATTTGCTTGGGTCTCTTTGCCATTTATTATGGACAGAGTGTTCCACATTCCAGTTTTTTCTGAACTTCCGAATTTAAAAATATAAATTACCTTTATCTAGAGTAGACTAAAGCATCTGGCTGTTCTGACAGGTGGAGCCCTTTACATGACCAAATCCGCTGTGCTAATTCTGGCCTTGTATCAGAGCTGTGATGTACTTATGCAGGATGAACCCAGGTCCCAGAGAACATTTCCTGCATGACATGGGATGAGGAAAAAAAGGGTTCAATATGGTTCTTGACTCAAAGAACCCTTTATGTCAAAAAGGTTCTATAAGGAGAAATGTTGTTTACACTTTATTTCAATGGTCCACTTTAGACATTCTACTAATTATAATAAATAACTTTGCAACTACAAAGTAGTAACTATGTCTGCTAACTCTATTAGTAGACTGTTAGTTGTTAGGGTTCAGGTTAATAGGATACGTTGACATGTATTTGCAAAGTGTTATGTTGCGGGTCAATTTGACCCGTTTCGATTTTCTAGTTGTTGGAAATACTGATTAACCTTTGTTTTTTTTCTTGATATTTTGTGACTTTTTCTCATTTATCATGATGAACATGCATGCAAAGTTTCAACATGCTGATGTGTTTTGACATATACAAACAAAATTACTATTACGTTCGTGATGTTCGCGGGTCAATTTGACCCTCATAGACAGCCATTCAAAAGCAACTGTACAGACACAAAATAAAAACATTTATTTTCTGTATGTCAGGGCACTTCAACTCCAGTTCTAACGTGCAAGTGTATCTAAAAGTGATCTAACCCTGACCAAACACACTTGAAAAAGCTAAAATCACTGTGTTTAGAATTATTTGCAAATTACAGATGAAAATCTTTGTCAGACACAGATAGTAAAATAAGCTCTTATTTCAATATTCAAGATATCTAAAATACCTAGCTTTTAACCAAAACTTTTATGTAGGATTTTCAAAGGCAGCTTCACAGAGCCAAAAAATAAATAAAAAACATTTATTTGATGTATGATTTTGTTATGTTTGGATTCTCACTTCCCTGTGAGTGAATAATGAAACTAGGGAACTAGGTCTTAGGAAACTAGGGAAAGTTAACTTAGGAAAATGAAAAATTTTCATTATACAGCAACATTTTATTGTTCAGTTACGATGTTCAAAGCATAAAATGTAAAAAAGTAAAAAAAAAAAAAAAGTATGTTAAAAAAAAGTCAGTATACTGTTTATTTTCCAATTTTGTCAAAAATTGGTTTAAAAACATTTTTATAAATCATATTTTCAGATATAATCTTTTTGTAATGTTTGACAAATGTTGATATTAAAAGTTTACAGTTTGTATCTAAATCTTTGTTGTTTTTCATAGTGTGATTTTTGAGGAATTGTATTGAATCCAATTAGGGTCAATTTGACCCGGTCCATAAAGGGAGTACACAGAATTCGAACAGTGCACAAGGGTTAAAGTCAGAAGAATGTCTGCCGGGGAGCATCAAAATAAAGTGTTAGCAGATATTAAACAGAAAGACTAGTAATACTCGAATGACTTCAAACTGAACAAACTGCCTTTTGTTTCTGTCAATGTAATTGGTCTTGACAGACTAGATCAGCCTACGCTCCTACAGCAAGAATGGACTTGCTAATGCTAATAGACACACACACGCACACACTGCTGGAAGCATGTAAGATATGCTTCTGCAAATCTCGAGCAGATAGGCAGGTGGAGCTGGGGGAGGTGGAGGGTTTCAGAGAAAGCAGGACTAGCAATCTCATTGGCTGCAGGATCCAGTCAGCTTGTACCATGTGGTAATGATGTGATTGCTTGCAGATTGCATGGAAAGGACCTATCAACTAGTGTTCTAAGTGTTCTATCACTTTTGCTGCACCTCAATCTTTTCCCTCTTTGAACAATTGCTTTCCTTTGGATGACAGATGATACTTAAACCCTTGACCTACAGCTCTAGATGGAGCAGTACTGACTGACAGCTTGGATATTCTTCAGAGAAAGGGTTGCCTTGCACTACTTCCCCTCCACAAAGGAAGTACAACTGTGAGCAAAATAATAATAATAAACTGAAAGAATCTTTGGATGTCATCAGTTTTAAAAACAGGCAGTCTCAAAACAATGTGTTAAGCACTGCTTTATACCACGGCCAACTTCTCTGTTTTAAGAGTCATTGCCGATTCAGAGTTGCCAGAGAGATCCATTATTTTACCAGCTTATATTTGATTCTTGTTATTTTAAAGAAAGTTAATTTAGCAAGAAATGCATTAAGGAAATTACTATACTTAATTGCTAAATTAAGGAAATGACTGGTCTATATTTCTTCTTCAACACAGTTTTATTATCTGTTAAAGTAAGCATGTTATGTCCCATTTATTAGACTCTACACACTTTTTTTTTCTAAACCAGTTCTATACAATTGTTTGTTTTTTTGCAATGTATGTGTATTATCCACAAATTATGATAATAATACAAAATTACTATTTAGTGCAATTCAGAATGAATAGAAGAAG